CTAACGGCCCTGGCACCCCAAACCGGACATGCAATTGCAACAATAAAAACACATTAGACTTGAAATCTCTTCCTTTAACAGACCCTAAAAATTGAATACTTCAACTTTTATTGATTAACTGCTATACAGTCCATAAGCACAAGTGTAGGGCGCTGGCGCAGGTAACAACGCTAAGCCGATATTACAGGTTTTCTAAACTTCAGAATTGTGTTTAATACGACGCGGCACCCGTTCAGATTTTTTTACGGCTATTAGTTATTGCGATCTACATCACTAAATTATTATTATAAAATTAATTATGAAAACAACTTTTTTTAGACCACTGCAAAATTTCAAAATCAATTCAAAAAATAATCAAGAAGTTTACATTCTTTCTGATGTTAAAAATAATCTAAGTATCAGATAGATGAATTTTTACATAAAATGTCTGGCCTCCTAAGCATAAAGCCGTGAAAAAACTGTCTGTCTGTACTCTGTCGATCAAAGATCAGTGTCAGCAGAACTAGCCTGCCGTAAAGTGTTTAGTTACCCTCGCTGGTGTTATGCTTTGAGCCTTCGATTGACTTAATTTGCACTAAATCATATTTTTTAAAATTTACTAGGGACCAAAATTAATGATTAGCGAGAAGTAGATGAATTACGTAGACTAAGTTGAACCACTTCTTGTATTTGAAAGTTTAAGAATTGGTTATGAACTTGTAGATCTACGATGCCACCTACGTAGTTCAACTACTTCTCGCCATTAATGAAATTTGTACTTTGTATATTANTCCCTTGTTATTTTATTCTCTAGTCCCTTGTATACCTGTATTATTAAATCCCTTGTTATTTTATTCTCTAGTCCCTTGTATACCTGTATTATTAAATCCCTTGTTATTTTATTCTCTAGTCCCTTGTATACCTGTATTATTAAATCCCTTGTTATTTTATTCTCTAGTCCCTTGTATACCTGTATTATTAAATCCCTTGTTATTTTATTCTCTAGTCCCTTGTATACCTGTATTATTAAATCCCTTGTTATTTTATTCTCTAGTCCCTTGTATACCTGTATTATTAAATCCCTTGTTATTTTATTCTCTAGTCCCTTGTATACCTGTATTATTAAATCCCTTGTTATTTTATTCTCTAGTCCCTTGTATACCTGTATTATTAAATCCCTTGTTATTTTATTCTCTAGTCCCTTGTATACCTGTATTATTAAATCCCTTGTTATTTTATTCTCTAGTCCCTTGTATACCTGTATTATTAAATCCCTTGTTATTTTATTCTCTAGTCCCTTGTATACCTGTATTATTAAATCCCTTGTTATTTTATTCTCTAGTCCCTTGTATACCTGTATTATTAAATCCCTTGTTATTTTATTCTCTAGTCCCTTGTATACCTGTATTATTAAATCCCTTGTTATTTTATTCTCTAGTCCCTTGTATACCTGTATTATTAAATCCCTTGGCTGTCCTTATTCTCAAGTCCCTTGTATGTCTGTATTATCAGATGACTTGTTTGAAGAAATTCTTAAAAAACTTATATGTCTGTATACTCAAATTCAATTCTTCCTTTATCAGATATATCTATTGTCATTCCGTATAATTGTAATTGACACTTTTATCATGTATAAAAAAACAAGTTGATTTTTCATCTTCTACTTTTCGTATAAGTTTATATAAGTTATAATTTCCCCTTTTCTTAAATCATTTTTGAAACCTCTTATCAATCGAGAATTTCGATTGTGTTAAGAATTACCCCTGTTTTTAAAGTATTTGGCTTGATGTTCGGCTTGAATGCCATACTGCATGGTTGGACAGCTTTATTTCTGTTCTAGAGTAACCAATACTTCAGTCTCCAACTGAATCTCATAACATGATTTTTTATTAGGGAATTACGTAACTTCAAAGTAAAAGTAGAATCAAAGATAATTTTTTTTTAACTGTTTACTATTTATTATGTTTGAAGTAATTACAACTACAGGGTCATCCACACAGGATGAAATTTTAGCGACAATTTGCACTTTTCTTTTTTCATAAATTCACGGATTTTGTAGCTTAAGGTGTACATTTCCTTGTAATTTTTCCCTGTCATTTATTTTTTCAGTGATGGCGATGGACCAAACCTCTGTAGAGTAAAAAAGTAGATGTTAGTTCCACATTTATTGAAAATATATTTCGGTCTGGGTTGACCCTCGTCAGTTCTAACGATATAATAACCATCAAAATCGATAAAAATAATAAAAAAACGTAAAAATCACAAGAAGATAAACAAACAAAAAGATTATTCAAAATAAAAATTTTGGCTGTCAAATGGACATAAGGGAAAAGAACTCAGATTATGAGATGGAAAAAAGATAATTTGCAAATATTCACTTTCTAAAAAAATGTTTTAAGACAATTATTATTCCTTGAGATTGTTTCTTCACAAAGATTAAAAACAAACTGTGTAGATNTTAAGACGTTCCTCTGTATTTTAAAACTTTTTTAAAATTAATAAATATCTCATTACAGAAACCACTGAGTGTGGCGTGTGCGTGCGTAAAACGCGTGTATATGCGTATTGCGTATATGTGTGTAGAGAAGTATACGAGGACCTGACCGTGGGAAAATGGCGGAACCAGAGTTCATCCAGAGTAAACCTGAAGGAGAAGAAACAAACCCGTCCTGCTCTCCAGATCCTGGAACAACCCTAAGTAAAGGAGAACCCGTCCGCTCTGATCGTCCGTCCAGTGGGACGAATAGAGCCTCAAGTAGTTCAAGTCGATCCAGTGATAGACCTTCCAGTGGTACAAGTCGTTTAAGTGATCGGACAGGAAGTAGCGCGAGCAAAGCGAGTCACTGTGCTCACAGTAGAACCAGCAGTAGTAGCTCAGGTTTGAGTTTTTTTTTAAATAAAAGGAAATATTTACGTAATTTTATCATTTTTAAATGCTATTCTTCCAACCATTATATCGTGGAAATCAAGGTCAAGTTTAGTTCACCATATTATATATTATGTTGATGGTAGGAAGCAGGGCTACCTGAGTTGGATGAAGTGTTAGCTAAGAGAAAGAAGTTAATTTAAAGTTTACGATTCACAATAGTACCCTTTACCCCAATAAACCTTATGACGGCGAATGGCTTAGAAAATTACGATTTAAGATCACTTTGAAAATTTTCTTTAAATGTAAAAATAATTTTCTTAAATCATTAAAACTTTTTTAAATTTTAAATAGTTGTAAATGCCCGAATATCTTAACATATAATCTTTAATTAAAAGAACCTGTTTCCTTGGTTTTGAATTATTACCATGACTTTGTTACAAAGCCCATCCATCATGGCGTGAAATTATTCATCGAAGCATTTCTGACTAGCAGCAATTATTAAATTCTTATCAAAGAATATATTGATAAGAATCTAGTTCGTAACCCTGAACAGTTGTAATCAGTTTAAAGTTAGTATTTCCATTAATTTGACCAGGTTTGATCAATCATTAACTTTTAGTCTTAAAAACACATATAAATGTTCGATAAATGTTTCTTATATCATTTTATTTTTGGGTAATAAGTTAGTGATGATTTTAGATTTGTATCACAGAAGCTAATTTTTCAATTGAAGAAATGTTGTTTGCCCAAAAAGTGGAATAAAATTTAAATTTAACATTATTATCGCAAAACTTTCATGGTTGGAATGAATTCCCTCCCTGCCATCTCCTTTCTCCAATTCCTTTTGTTCCGTCCACAATTTTCAAAACGAAAACAGGGACAAAGAAATTTTTATCGGAAAGACACTACGGATTGAAAAAATCTAAATCAATGCTTATTTATTTCAATTATCCCTTCAGCAGGGATATCAATTAATCTGCAGACTAACTATTGAGATTCAGTAATTGATCTCGATTCCAGTTTCCAGCTCCGAGGCCGAATTTAAAGAATTTGAGCGGCGGCTTAATTTTAAGCAGCCGCTCAAATATGGTTGGTTCCACTTAAAATTGTATCAAATGTTTCAAGATTTAAGCCGGCGCTTAATTTAAACCGGGTTTTGGCGGATTTAATCCGCGACTCAAATTCATTAAATTCGGCCTCTGATCAAGGTATTTTTGTTTCAGGGGACGGACTTCTTCTGTCTGTATCTGCCCTGGCTAGAGCAGGTGGGCGTGGCACAGGACAAGACACTGAGGGAGGGACTAGACACGCCCCTGAGCCAGACAAGGCGGAACTAGGAGGCTCCGAGCAGTCTTATAATTCATTAGGTAAACATTTATTATTGAAGCAAAAAAACTTTAAAATGATCGATCGTGTCACAATGTTTAATTGAAATTTAAAAAAGTTAAATCTGTAATGATCTCTGATATTCGAATTCGTCAATTATTAAATAAGTGTTGATTTTTTCAATGTTTTCATTTATGAATTTTCTATTTTTTGCTTGTGCAAGAAATATTTTTTTTTCAAAGAAACAGTTTCACCCTTTTTATTATCTTTAGATTCCGAGCATTCATGTACCTGTAGTGGAGGGGAGGGAATGGGTCAGCGTGAAGGGCGGCCAACCCCTCCTGTGGCAGAACGTGAGGAACCTGAAGGACTGGAGGAGGGNCGAAAATAAAAAGAAGATGCATTCGTTTTGATTGAGGCAAGGCACAACAAAAAAGCCGTTTATGATTAGTAGAAATACAAAATTTTAATATTGCAGAATAGAGAATCAGAAAGCAATTGATCAATCGCCACTAAATCTAAATTTACAGTCCCTGTATGCATCTTTGCAACCTAATGTCTAAAACCTTTTATATTTAAAATTATGAATTAAATAGATAACATATTCTACGTTTGAAATATTAAAAGTTCACACGATCACTCATCAGGTTGCACATAGGACTTAGACAATTAAAGTTCATGTCGAATCTTAAGTTTATTTTTTTAGTTATTTACAGTGGTTAACATAATAAATCTGCATTAGAAGTTTCTTGTTATTCTTCTATTGGTAAAATAAGGCAAATTTAATGCATGAACTTATGAATCGTATAAAAGATGGGGTTTCTGTTAATTTCTTTGTGGGGAAATAAATATTTTTTACGAACCCCATCTCGAATTTATTTTAAATATCCATGATTAGGATGAGTTGACCGCGGCCCAGTCTGAGCTGAAACTCAAGGAAGAAGAGGTCACCAGACTATCTAGGTAAATTAACAATAAGGCTGACCCATGATTAGATTGTAAATCAGATCTGAAAGCTTCAGAATTTTGGATATCGAGATTAATGCTTGATCTTCTCTTTTTATCAATCCAAAGATTAACTTAATCTTTAGTTTGTATCAACAAAGTGTATGTAACTCGGTCAATCGACTGGCGTTTTGAGAAACCGGAACAGCCAATCAAAGAAGCCGAGAAATTTGAAGTTTTGCGCGCAATTTAATGAGTGAACTCTTGCTGGTTGGAAACTGGGAGGGAGAGAAAAAGAGTAGATTAAGCAGGAAATTAAAAGTGTCCACATTGGATAATTAAATTAAGCGATCGGGATTAAAGGTATCCAATTCTGAAGTTCCCAACTCTGGTCTTTGTTGCACCCTATCTATCTGCGACTATTTCATCCCGTTAAAGAATGTTATGAATATTAATTTTTCTCATAAGAGTATCATATTATTATTATTTACAAATTTTATTCCAGGATTCGTGATGATGTTGAGGATGAACTAACTGAACTCACTGCCAGCCTTTTCCAGGTACAGATCAATTCATCAAGAATTTAATTTATCAAATAATCAATCAATTAATCAATCAAAATCAATTAATCAATCAATCAATCAAAATCAATTAATCAATCTATCAAAATCAATTCATAAATTAATCAAAATTTATTAATCAATCTATCAAAATCAATTAATAAATTAATCAAAATCAATTAATCAATCTATCAAAATCGATTTATCAACCAATTAACCAAACCAACAATTGCATTTCGAGAACATAATAGTTCTTTTTCATCTTATTAAAAAATTATTAATCGCCTGTTTTCTTGTCACAACCTAGAGCATGTTGTAATGTCGCGAAAATCCTTTTTAACATTCGGTGATCACAGTGTCATCGTGTTTCTGAACCGTGACAGCTTAGCGCTTCTAATTATGATAACTGGCATATATTAGGAACTGTCAACTATGTATTTTTCATAGATTCACGCTTTAAAGAGGATAGATGATGTTAGGGAGGGGGGTTAGTGTTTGCGTAAATTTAAAAAGTTTTTTGAATGACCACAAATAAATAAATTTTAATTTATTTGATTTCAAATAAATTAAAATTTGAAATCAAGCCTTTTATTTTAAATTTTAAGTTAGTAAAGTCATCTTGAAAACTGTAGAATGGAATTAGGACAACATTAGAAGTCTCAAGCCAACTAAATTCTTTTAAATAGAAAATATTTTTTTCACACAATTATCTAAATCCTTTAAGAATCTATAATTACATTTTTGAATTTAATTTCCTGAATTTAACGTGTGATTTGTTCACATTATAATAGCTTCATTTCACCCTTTTTGCCCTTCTCCATTTAGCTTAATTGCAGTCTTTTCTTAAGATCTAAAACTACAATTTTTCAGAAATGTATACTTCACTAATCACTATTTCCCACTTAGTTCCTCTATATACAAAATTTTGCTTTATTAAAACTCGAAATGTACAGCATGTACAGAATGTACAGTACGTACAGAAGGTAGAGCACGTGCACTGTGCAGTGTTTGCAGAAATTATAGCACTTAAAGAATGCAAAGAATGTACAGAACGTATAGGATGTTCAGAGCATACAGTACGTGCAGTGTTTACAGAACTTCCAGCACTTACAGAATGCACAGAATGAATTTAATGCACAGAATGTACAGAATTTACAGACTGTACAGACTGTGCAGAATGCACATAATGTACAGCATGCACAGAACGTACAGTACGTACAGAAGGTACAGCACGTGCAATGTTTGCAGAAATTATAGCACTTACGGAATTCACAGCATGTACAGAATGTATGGGATGTTCAGAGCATACAGTACGTGCAGTGTTTACTGAACTTCCAGCACTTACAGAATGCACAGCATGTACATAATATATAGGATGTTCAGAGCATACAGTACGTGCAGTGTTTACAGAACTTCCAGCACTTACAGAATGCACAGAATGTACAGAATTTACAGAATGCATAGAATGCACAGAATGTACAGAATGCACAGAATGTACAGAGTGCACAGAATTTACAGAGTGCACAGAATTTACAGAATGCATAGATTGCACAGAATGCACAGAATGTACAGAATGCACAAAATGTACAGAAGGCACAGAATGTACAGAATGTATAGAATGTATAGAATTTACAGATTGACTTCTGAAACATTTAGGAAGCTCACAGGATGGTCCGAGAAGCAAATGTCAAGGCTTTTAAATCAGAGAAGGCATTGGTTGAATCTAATATGAAGGTAAATCATTTATTTTATTATTTCATTTATCTCATTTTTAAACCTGACAGACTTAGATATGATTTAATGAACAAGTCTTATCTAAACAATATACCCTGGTTGTTTGAAGGTTCCCGATCACACCTTTTTAAGACTTTTATCATGTCGGGTTCCCTTCAAAATCTATTTTATTTCCTGGGGTTTATATTTTATATACCTGGGCTTATTTTGTATAAAGTTATTTTCGTTTCGGATCACATTATTTTCATCCCAATGTTTTTGTTTTTGTCAAACTAGGAAGTAATGATACTAAGAGGGAGATAAATTTTAGATCTAAAGAATTGAGTTTTTGTCATAAAGCTCTAATTTTCTAATCCCTATATCTTTGCAACCCGATGTCTGAGATCTTTGATATTTCAACCTACAAGTTACTTTAGTTAAAAAAGTCTCAGTTTGAAATATCGAAAGTTTACACCATCCTATTGCAAATATGTAGGGATTACAAAATTTGAGTTGTGGCAAAACTAAACTCCTTCGTTGTTTAAAAGTATTTTTTTTGTTGGAAAAGGTTGACGGGCTACAGACTGAGGTTGCTGCTCTCAAAGCTCTTGTGATCACTTCCACTCCATCAAAACCAAACCGACATCTCCATCCTCAGCTGGACAGGAAAAGGTCGGCGGATAGAAGATCCGGCAGCTCCGCCCCGGGATCTCCGGCCAAGGAACGGTTGGTGGAAGGGGCGGAGGAAGTAGATGTTAAGGTCAGTAGTTAAAGGGACGTCAGGGAATTAGCTTAGGCTTGCCTTAATTTCAACCCATATATACATTATACATACCATACAGTTTAATTAAGGAAAAGGGGATAGGGTTTATTTTCATCCATTTTTTAGAACACTCGGTTTTTTTAAACGACTAACAAACATTGATTTGAGACAAAACTTTAGATCGTTTTTAAACAAATCCCTACCCTACTCTCTAGCACTAGAATTATATCATTTTCTTCTCAATATATTTCGCCAAAAACTTTGGCATCGTCAGGAGTTCGTCCTTACTCTTTTGAAGAGTATTGAATGAGACAGGGCCTTCCGGCTTACCCGGAAAATTCCGATCTTTGTTATTTAGTGATAAGATTAGTTTTAATACGGCACGGTAAATATGCGCACAAACTCTTTCTACCATCTCTTTAATTAAATCTATTATTATTAACATTTAATCTACAGTCAAAGTAGCCTGTCCTGTAGGCTATGCTACGTTGAGCTCCAGGGGTTGAGCTCATGGCCACTTACCCTGTCTGTTTGGGTTTTAGTGAATCAAATCCGAGTGTGAATGATTTAAGGATTCACTGTGTAAGCCAGTTAAGTAAGGACTAAGACGTCATTAAAACTTTTTTTTATCAAAATGTTAATTGTTGATTAGGAGAAGTATATTGACCCTGTGCTACGGGCTGAATACATGCAGTGGAAGAAACTACCCAACCTGGAGCCTGGCAACCCCTTCCTTAGCAGGGTCTTCGCGGAGGACATTGATCCATGCCTGGAGTTCACCAACAAGGAGCTGGGGGCCAGGGTAAAGGAGGCCGTTATACAGAATACACTCTGCCTAGATCCTGTCAAGGTAAATCATGTGCATAACGTAAACTTAAAGGGACTGTTGACGTAATTTTAGGAAACTAGACTTTAACAGAGGGACAAGCCCGATTCACAGCAGTATTCTTTTAATCAAAAACAAACTCAGAAAGCTGTCTTTTTCTCTGTCTGGAAAAGTGCTAAAATCTGACACTTCTTCTCTAATGCATAAATAGACAAACCACAATCCAAAAAAAATCAATTTTGATATTGTAAAAATTGATATCTTCATCCTTGGTTAGACACAGGTTTGAATGTAAGGGTGGGAATATGACAGACTACTATATAAATGTAGGGTCACTTGAAATTACGTATACAATCCCTTAAACTTTTTTTTTATTTATCTAAAGCAATAAATATATAAAGACACAGCGTCTTTATACGCCAACAGTTTTCTTTTTAAACTGCAATTATTTTGATACATTTTTACCGTTTTTTATTTTAAAAATATATCTTTAACATGTGTCTTGTGTCTACTAGGATGACGAGGATTTGCCGCGTAACTGTTCTTTGTTTGAACAACCTCGAAGATGCTCTCACAGGCTCACATTCGGGGATGCAGACAAACAGTCACATTATATTTCACATCTGGCCAGGAATAGGTTAGTTAGAAATTAACGTTTTTTAAGCAGTTATCCTGTTTTAATTAAAGATCACATGTATGATATATCTGTTTTAAGGGAGATATGTTTCAATGATGTTAATAATGTTATCAGGGGCATATACAGGAATTTGCCCTATGGGTGACAATAAAGGGTGGTGCCCCAGCTGGGGGGCTAAATATTCATGAAAATTAAGTCTTCAATTTTAAAGGCGGGGCTTAGTCCCCATATCCTCCCCCCCCCCTTATAGCCCCTGTTAACATTAAAACCATTTTATTTCCCCAATTTGTAGCACAACCACTTCAACGCTCCGCTCACATTCTTGTAGGGGTGAAACTTAAAGTTTAAGATGGATTATATTTTTGTAGTATTATTGATGATTAAAAGTTTAAGAATTCTAATGTAAAATCCCGCAAACTGTTGTCTCAGTTTAGCTGTTATGGTTTTCTTCTTCTTGGATATTAATTGTCTCTGTATTTGTTCAGGATTGCGGCTGTCTGTGATTTCTTAACATACTGTCGCTATGTGACCCAGGGGTTAGTCAAGGCCCATTGTAACGAGGTGTACTGGGAGATTATGCTGCGCAGGCGCAATATGGCGATTGCGCGTCTTGGCTTTCTCAATTAGATCAATCAATCAATCAATCTTCCCAACGAAAATAAAAAGAAGATGCATTCTGAAAGGAAAATCTAATCTATGGAGATCAATCTCACATGCAAAATTTACTGAACGGTTTTTTGCTATAAAAAATCATGATAAATACATTTAGTGGAGATTATAAGATAACTACTGAGATTATAATTAATAATATATTTAGAACTCTACAACTAAATGCGTGCATCGTATATGTTTACAGATGATGTGGTAACGTTTCAACCTTATTTAAGTTTCCATGTAGAAATCGTTCATATTTATATTCTAGATCTAATATTTAACTCATAACAGAATGAGGGGTGTATATTTTCTAAGATTATCTCCCCTTTCGAATTTCCAAAAAATGAGGGAGGGGGTGATTTATCAAGAAATACATACCTAAAAATATGAAAGGCTTTTCAACCTTTTCGTTACCTGTACTTGTAATACTCATCGTTCGTATAGTTTATGCTTTAATTATAATTGTTTGCATTACGTTTTCAAATTTTACCAGATTCTGATTATTGCTTCAACAAAGTAAATTGTTATGCTTGCTCAGTGCTCAGTGCTCCGTTAGCAACAAAATTGGCAAAACAAATAAAATGACTCGCTCAATTTGTTAGGTTCTTATCAAATTTTGTCTTAATTTTTAATTCAAATATTGGTTTAAAACACAAAACGTCCTTGTTTTCTGGGCTGGGGTTTAGTTTTTTTTTTTTCTCCGGAGACATGATTTCTCCAATTAAATTTACATTTTTAATCACTATAGTAGACATGTATTTCTCTGACTGAAAAAAACTACACGTAAAACGTTAAATTTAATGTTTTTTCTTTTATCAAAACAAATTGTTGTTAATTGTCTTCTCTCACTTTATTCTAAATTCTTAAAAATGTAAAGACGGTTTTTACCAAAGACAAAGAAACCTACAAACTTTACCATTTTAAACCATTTTAAAGGAAATGGAATTGTAATTTTAAGTGACCCTCCATTTATAGAGTGGCATTTCAGATTTTCAATATTTATTTATCCTTCTCCTTTAGTACATATTTATTTATCCCACTTCTCCTTTAGTACATATATTTATTTATCCTTCTTCTCCTTTAGTACATATTTAATTATCCTTCATCTTCTAATTAATTTTCAATCTCTTATAGCTTTAACTTTATCACTACTTCTTACTTACTCTCTATCCCTGCCAAATTGACTGAATCTGCCTCACATTTTGATTATTATGTTCTACATTCTTAAAAGCATGTTCATAACACTAACCAGGCCTGCAGAATATTAAGATATTACTTGTGCATATTTTTGTCTTAACAATAAACTAAAACTTAATCTCTCTCAATCTAAGCTGTGCATTGTGCAACTCGCAAAATTGTGTCAAAATTTTAAATAAAGCATTTTATCTGATGAACAAAGATAGATCTGAAACATGGAATAGAAAACCTGATTTATATAATGTCTTGATGTCGGCCTAGTTCACTTCAGGCCTCGTAATAGCTCATTTTATTTAATGAATTTAATTATATTAAAATTTTAATTATGTTACTCGCTTGTAAATTTTATTTTATTTTAGATTCTAATCGTTTTATAGAAATAATATAAAACCCTCTGTGATGATTTCTATGGATTTTAATAAATTTCTATGAATTTAATAAAAAGTTGTTCCTCGTCATTTCAGATCAGAAATGGACGTCGCAGCTTTCTCTGGCGACTCTTATGACGCTAAGGATTGGATAAACAAGGCTCTACGCAACTCTGATTCTACGCAATCTAAGGTGCTATTTTTACAGTGCTTTAATTGGCGGATTTCCTTAAGAAAAATTAGAAATTAATTGGGGCAACTTTTTTTCTGACCTAGGGAATCATGCGAGTAACCACAAAAAATTGGGCCTGGTCTGTACAGTCGTTAAACGTTCTCTAAACACCAAATATATGTACAGTTTACTAAATATGTACAGTTTACTAAACACCAAGTATATTTACAGTTTACTAAACACCAAGTATATGTACAGTTTACTAAACACCAAGTATATGTACAGTTTACTAAACACCAAGTATATGTACAGTTTACTAAACACCAAGTATATGTACAGTTTACTAAACACCAAGTATATGTACAGTTTACTAAACACCAAGTATATGTACAGTTTATCGAACGTAACTACGTACTGTCCCCTTAAAGGACAAACTTTCATTATTCTGTATCAAGTTTGTCCAATTATATACAGGAGTGTATATTTTCCTGAAAAATCATTTTGTATTCCCCTAGAATATATTTATGTTTTTTAGGGTTTAATTAGCGGAATTGGGGAAAATAAATAAATTTTTGGGTAATAATATGAAAAATTATGAAAAAAAAACTTTTCATTTTCATGTCCATTTTTTTCCTTTTTTTAAGATCTTCATAAATCTTCCCCCCCCCCTGGGGTAAATTTTTTAAAATATAAACCCCTGATTATTTCAGGAAGCTGCTGCTAGTAGTTTGGTGATGAAACTACAGCTGATGATTTCTAAATTAAATATTGCTTTGGAAGATCAATGTCAGACCGTGGTTCAGTCTATTCCTAGGTGAAGTAAATAATTATGAAATTTTTTCAACAAATCTAGATATTTTTTTTCAATTGTCAAATTTCTAGGTCTTTCTTATGTAGATTTTGATCATTAAACTGATTCATAATAATCTTAAATGCTAAATATAAACCAATATGGAAGAATGAATATATTTTAGTGACAAGTTGATAACTATGAAAAAAGAGCGTCTGTCCCTTAAGATTTTTCAATATTCTAAACAAATCGCTGAATTTTTGGTAATGTTGGAAAGTAAAATGTTAACAAATTTTAATTTAAACATTTCTTTATGAAGGTTTCAACTCTTTCTTTTCTTCATGTTCTTCATTAGATTTTGAGTCGTTTTAACTTGTTGTTTAAAGAGTTTTAGTTTTTGTAATTATTATTATTAATAGCAGACAACCCATCATTTAATGAAATAGGGGAATAGAAAGCTTATGTATTGAATACTTTTACTTGTCGAATAATTATGAGTAATCACGATAAATTAAAAATTATCTGTAGAGTTGTACGGGAAGCTGAACAGCTGCAGCAAGAAGCTTCTCTTTTAAGGTTAGGATTTATGAACAGAATGTGGAGAAAAAATATTATTTTTTAATTCATTCCGCGTTTTTCACGATTTATGGCGTTTCTATCTTAAATTTTTGACCCATTAGACGCGATCAGATAAAATCAATATAGATTAAGTATTTAAAATACATTCTTTAGCAATCTTTAGATTAATTGAATAAGGCATGTTCTTATTGTTTAAGAATCCGCTGGTAAGAGGCGCTTTGTTAAGAACGACTGGATTTTTCTTCGATTTGATTAGATTTTTCTTTTTGGATTGGATTGGATTGGATTTGACATGAAAACAACTTGTAGTGATAAGCTGGCGGCTGTGAAGGCTGACGTGGAGAGGGTGGAGAAGGAGACAGAGCAGAACATGCATACCTTAGTTGAGATGGATAGGTAGCTGGTAGATATTATTAATGACATTGTGTAGCAAAATGTTATCGTTTGCCCCGTTCTACTGGTGCCTTTGTCGCAATCTGATTTGATTTGCATATATTTTCTTCCAAGGTCAAAATTTGGCATAGTATAAGAAAGGCAAATGTTTTCAGAATAGTTGATTCCAATGATAAGCTTTTCTTACGCTGTGCCAAATTTTGACCCAGAGAGAAAACATATGCAAAAAAAATTAACCCAAAAACAAAAGTATTAAAACTATAGTTTTTTTTTCTTTGTTTTTAGATTAAAATTATTGCATAGTTACCCGAATACAATTCTGAAGTGTGGGTAGATTTATTAAAAGTTGTTAACAACGAACCATAACGATTAACAACACTGCCCCGTAACAACGAACCATAACGATTAACAACACTACCCCGTTGGCTGTCTTGGTCTCCTAAACTGAGATGGCTTATAGATTAAGTGCTATTACTAATACATAATCTATAGAATTCAGAAGGACACCAAGGAATGTTGGTAGGGGCGGTTACTTGTGTGCATTGGCGTTGACATACTATTTATCTATTGTTCAATTCATATGAGTGAGCAATCTCCTTTTGTGTTTTTGATTATTAGTTCTAGCTTTATTTGAACTATATTTTTCCAGAGTAAAGGAGAGATTATCTGAGACAAGCAGAGCACTGCAAGAAGCAGATAATTGGACTATGCTGGATAATCAGGTAGAAGTGTCATGTCGCGTCGTGAATTTGACTTTATTTATCATTATTCTTTTTAGCATGTCAGTAAGTTAAAACTTCAGTCATCTCTTCTATTCATTAAGGTTGAAGATGCGTTTGAGAAGAATGAGGTTGATGTTGTTGCTGAGAAGCTGACCGGGATGCAAGCTAGCCTCAGGCTACTCCAGCATGCTGCAGACTACCAGGTAGAGTATGTACTAGACTACTCCAGCATGTTACAGACTACCAGATAGAACATGTACAAGAATGCACCAGCATGCTGCAGTCTACCGGGTAGAATATGTACTATACTACTCCGGCATTCTACAGACTACCAGATAGAATATGTACAAGACTACACCAGCATGCTGCCGACTACCAGGTAGAATATGTAATAGACTACTCCAGCATGCTGCAGACTACCAGGTAGAATATGTACTAGACTACACAGAATGCTGCAGACTACCAGGTAGAATATGTACAAGACTACACCTTGAATTTATTTAAGGATCGTTTTGATCATCTTGAATCTAGTTAAGGATCGTTTTGATCATCTTGAATCTAGTTTAGGATCGTGTTGATCATCTTGAATCTATTTCAGGATCGTGTTGATCATCTTGAATCTATTTCAGGATCGTGTTGATCATCTTGAATCTCTGAGAAATAGACTTGAAGCTACTCTCAGTCCTCAGCTGGTGGCAGCTTTCAGTAATATGAACAGGTTTAGAAACTAGGATTTTTGAAAAGAACGAAAGTTGATTTTGTTTCCACAATGAGAAGATGAAACTTAATTATAAAATTAATATTTAAAAACTGTAACTCTAAATAAGTTGTGATAAGTCGAGAATACAATTACATAAATAATGTCAGTTTTGAAATAAACAAAACATGTAGAAACGTGAATTTTGTTATTTAGGCCGGCGGCTAGCCGGCTGGTCACCATATTCCGAAGTATGGAGCGGGATCATCAGCTCACAAAATACTACAGGTAGAGTACACTCAAGGGCACAGGGGTAAAATAAATTATATTTGTGCGAATATAAACGATTTTTTTGTAAAAAGGGGAGGGTTGGGGAGGGAGGCTTTAATGTTTTTTCTTATATCTTTTGAATAATTCAAGGGATATTCTTCCAAATAGATACTGAAATTGAGGCGTGACGGGTTTGCTTTTAAGTAATTTATTTTTATTTTTGTTATTTATGTTTTAGTAAATGCACTCGAGCTGGTATTGTGCAGAAGTGGACTGAGATTGTGACCACCTCCGAGGAGGGTGTGTTGGAGTGGTTGGAGAACCTGTACAAGGAGCTTTTAAACCTGGTGGAGGAGAACAAGAGTTGGTGTGCCGAGGTGTTCCCTCTAGAGAACCCGGATACAGTCATGTGTACAGTTCTTACAGGTAAGTTCATCTGACAGCCCTCCCCCCTCTCCCATTTAAAAAATGTGATTAAACTGCATCGGATATCCTTATTTATCAATTCCGATTGCTAAATCTTGATATCCACTGCGGGGTTCCGAACCAATAATACGCTTGTTGGCTTCTGATTGATTGTTCTGTTTCTCTAATCGACACTGAAGACATTTCCTGGATACTAATATAAGATTAAATTAATCTGCAGATTAATTAGAAGAGATCAAGCATTGATCCACAATTCTAAAGTTTTCCGCTCTGTTTCTTAGCGATTTATGATTGCAAACAATTCACCAAGTTTGTTTAAGAGAAACCTGATTTTAATTCATTTAATTGAATTTACATTGATTCTAATTCTTAATAATCTGTGATTTAAACATGGTAAAAATGGACCTGAGTAAAAAAGTTAAAAAATTATCGGAAATTTTTTAAAAAATGTTTAAAAAGGAATGTAAATTTTGAAAGGCTCTGCATTTTTTAATGTTTTTAAACATTCAATTTCAGATGTTCTTGGGAGCCTAGATCCAAGTTTAGAGTTCTGTATTGAAGCTGGGATAAAACTACAGAACAATGTTCTTACTTTCCTAATAGATCTTAGAGATAGGACAGATAGGTACAGGGTTATATATTCTTCGGGTGTTTTTATTTAGATTCCATGACCTTCAGGGAATATATATGGTTTATTTTTGTGAGTGGGAAAAAAAATAAAAACAAAGTCTGGATCTTGCAATTTTTCCTCCCTCTATAATTAAATTCCTACTTATCACCCTCACCCTCTAACCTCAAAACTAAAGTTGGAATGTTTTCTTCAGGTTTGTTGCTGACCTGCGACCCATGTTACAAGGTTGCACTGAGGTCAATTTAAGAGATCTTGCTAAAGTCGTCTTTGCTCCTTACAAACCTTATGTAGAAAGGTAAATATTCAAGTTAAAGAATAATTAAGGTTTTCATCATCATTCCTGAATTAAATATGATAATTTTCATGTTTATTATTATTTTAATTAAGATTATTTTCATATTTTTAAGAAACAACTCTGGAATTATTGTCTTCGATATTTTATGATAATGTTATCATATTTAGTTAAATATATGTGAGATATTGTTTTATGTAATTATTATTTGGAACGATGTAACAAGAAAGCCGGAATGACCATCGTCTTCGTTCTCGCTTTTGATCAAAATTGAAAGAAGTAAAGATGACGGCAACCATTCCACAACTTTCTGGGTGCCACTGTATTGGACAGTAATGATATTGATATGACAATATCTATGTCACAAGCTATTTTCATTATTCATGTGTTAATTATCAGAATGTGTACCTAGTCAGTTGAATATTATGAACCAGTTTTGTTGAATTATGAAATGTTAAGGTATGGTGAGCTTGAAAGTCAGCTGATGTTGGCTGAGATGGCAGGGTGGACTTCAGGAAATGATGCTTTCAATTTTTTTATAATAATATATTTCTACTTTGTCAAAAACCTTTTAAAGGGAGTGACCGGCAATGTTAGTTGAGCTGATATTGCAGTTGTATTGAGAAATTTTTTAAGGATTCATTTGAAAGCTATTAGACGTTTTTATGGTGCATATTTGTTCAGCAAAATCGCATATGTAATCGTTAGAATCCTCATAGATTGTCCGTTTTTGAGGGATGATTTTTAAAAATCGGTTTTATTTAGATTATGCAATGACGACCACGTAAAATGTAAGAAAAAATTCTACCGTAAACTAATTAGTTGTTAAGAAACAGGTTGAGAAAATAAGTAATCTTATTCATTTGGTTTCTGTAATGTCTCATTGTTCAAAACCATTTTCTGTAGATTTCCTGGAATTTTCAATGAAAAGACGACATTGGAAGAATTTAAAGAAATTGCAAACAGATTCATAAAAATAAGAAAATCAACATAATGATGAAAAAGAAAAAAATTAATTCTAACATTGATTTATGGACAAATTTCTAATGAGAAATATGTTCCTAAACATCTAATTAGTTTACTGTAGAAATTTTGTTACATTTTTCTTCGTCGTTTTTTGAAGAATTTTTCTAAAACCGATTCTTAATTTATAGTAGTTATAGGATTTATCTTCAAACACAAAATACAAAATACTAATGTATAATGGATACGTTTCGGCGGCTAGGAGCGTCGACCCCTATTTCATTGAATGATGGGTTGTCCTTTAATAATAATAATAATATTAATGGTTCAGCTTAAAATAAAACACGAAAGAAAATTGAAAATATAATGTTTAATATTTTTTTCTGATTGGTATTTGTTGAAACAGACTATTCATATTGAAATCTCAACTAAATATACATTCATTGTGGATTTACAAGTAAATACTTAGTCAGCACTCAAATAATCAAATCAATCAGGAATGCATTAATTGAACTTATAAATACATATTGATTCAGCAAAAGTAGCAATGTATTCTTGTTGACTGTAGTAGACTTTGACATCCACCATTAGCAAAGGGTGTGAACCCATACTTGTTGACTATAGTAGACTTTGACATCTACCATTATCAAAGGGTGTGAACCTGAATATATTCTCCAAAATGGACAATCAATGAGGATTTTATATATAGAATTTGCGCTCTTGCTGAACAAATATGCACCGTAAAAGCGTCTGATCGGTCTCAAATGAATCCTGAAAAATTTCTTAATATATTGCTTCAATCATAGTTCAACTACCATACATTGCCGGTCACTCCCTTTAAGGGGATTTTTGCACTGAATTTGGAATATTAATAAAATTTTGTTAAAAAATATGTTTAAAAGGTGAAACAAAAACTTTCCGGTTCGAGTCTGATTTTTCATATTTTCCAACAAATCTTCGAAAATCATATTGTAATTTTGAACTTTTTTGTCTGTTTTCGTTATTTTATTGTGGATCTTGTTTTTTTTCTCTTTTCTTAAATTTTAATATTTACAGCGAATTTTTTAGTTGATATTTCTTTTTTGTCAATTAAACTAATGCAGAACTGAATTTTAAAGTATTGTGTTTACAGGAAGTAAAGATACAATTGAAGAGATTCACAGCCTGACTAGTTCTGTAAGCAAGCTGGTCAGTTTAGGTAGAGAGGCGGGGTCACGCTGCTCCTCCCTTACTAAGGTTAGCTTTGCATAATGCAGCTTGAACTAGAATTTAGAATTGTTAAGTTGATCACCCTCTAGCTTTATCCCCTTTTTTTACAAGCAACACTCTAGTTATCAAATGACCACAGACTTTCATTTTTCATATTTTCATATAATAAAACATTTAAAAAACAACATCTGATTCTTCTATCAGATTAAGAATTAGAAAGGTTTTTTTTTGTTGTTAAGATAGAGAAAATCACTTAATTTACGACTTTATCTCTGCTGCATAAATTAGGTTACTTTTGTTGGGAACTGCAATTGACTATTTTAATTTCCCTCTGCAATGTACATAGATAAACAGGGATAATTACAGCATTTTCGTTTAAACAAACGTTTAAGGGTTACTTATGTGAATCTTTAAAAGGGAGTGACCGGCAATGTATGGTAGTTGAACTTAGAATGTAGAATTGTAGAGAAATTTTTAGGATTCATTTAAGACATGTAAAACGTTTTAATGATTTATAATTTCTGAGTTCGAGCACAAAGCCGATTTTCACAATCATCCATTTGGGTGGTTACGTTTTGAGAATCGGTTTTTTTTATTATTAAACATCGTTGACGAAAAATGTATCAAAAATTCTACAGTTGTGGTATCTGGGAACCACAAATACGTGCATTGAACTTGTATCTAAAATCTACACTTAATAAGATTTATACAAGTACTTAAACCTGTTTATATCTATCATGTGTGTAACCTGTTGACATTGCAGATCGGGTTAGTCCTATTCCGCGGGCCTAACTCCTCATGCGCTGTCATATATATTTGTAACCTGGCATTACAATACTTCAGCTATCTCCATATATCGAGATAGCCTTATATGTTTAAATGCACGTACATAAATAACACCCTAGTAATAAAATCATTCACATGTATAAGTATATTTATTGATACATTTAATCTTACATTTATAAATGCATACTTATATATCATGTACATAATAATAGCTAAACATAAACCTTAGATCCCTTGGTAATATTAAGGTTTCCTAGGTTGTTCTATTATAAGATCATTAGAGATGATATTATTGCGTACAGATAAGATCAGTATGTTGATCAAACCTTCTACAATATATTGATCTTCTCTTTTCCAGGTCTGCTGGGTTACACGCTCCTTCATCTTCTGGAGCAGGTCCCATACCTGTCTATACAAGCGAGAGATAATGTCACTCCTGCTTGCACCTGGATAGAGACTGAACTCTCTATCCCAGGCCGCCTCTGTGTCCCACAGTTTATCATCGGGGACCACTAGTGGCTGACCAGAGTTACTGCTTCCCTGCATGGTGGAGTTGAATGTTTGTATCTTCTCCACAATCTCGCCTAGGAAGTTGTACATGTCTACCATCTCATCTCGTCCTCCTACAGCTCCGCCTGCCACAACTTCTACATCTGCTTCTTCATCTGCTGAAGCAGGGACAGTGATGATGGGGGCGTTCCCGCTCACGAAGGGGGTGACGTCTGCTGGATCAACTTCATCTCCATCTAGTTCCAGCTCTCCAACAACGGCAGGGTTCCTTATTATGTTGGGAACCCGGTTCATCTTCTTCAATGTAGATCTCGTCCACAAGGATACTCTCTGTAAGCTTTCTGTGCGCTATATGTAGCACAGGTCCCTGGACGGCTATGTGCAGTGTGACTTGTGTCTACGCTGCAGCGGTCCGGGATGTACTGACTCATCTGGCTTCCTGTTGGATTCAAGGGACTGTTCACTCATATATCAAACAATCCGGAATACAACACAGTTAATTAGATGTTTATGAACATAATTCTCAATAGAAAATTGACAATAAATCTAAGTTAGAATCAATTATTTCTTTTTCATCATTATTTTGAATTTCTTAGTCTCATTTGTTCGCAGATTTCTACAAATTCTTCAAATGTCATCTATAATATTACTTATTTTCGACGATAAAAGTTAATTTTTATTTTCTTAACCAGTTCCTAAACAACATATTAGTTTACTGTAGAATTTTTGAAACATTTTTTGTTGTCGTTAGTTATTAATTTAAAAAATATCGATTCTCAAAACGTTTCCACCCAAATGGATGATTTTGTAAGTTGACTTTGCGCTAAAACTCATTAGTTATACATTATTAAAACGTTTTATTTTAAGTCCCAAATGAATCCTAAAAAAATTCTCCACAATACTACATTCAAGCGTAATTGTTGGCATTGTATCCGACTATCATAGAATTGAAATTATTTTGATTTCAAGAATTTTGGACAATGTTTACATTTCTAATTATATTTCAGGGAACTGGATTTCCAGGTCTTTCTCTTGCAATCCGATCCGTCCTGGATAAACATATGGATAGGTCAGCTACTCTAAATACAAATGTTGTCAAAAAACATTGGTTAAAGTTGGTTAAAGTGTTATTGATTTTTATTTATTATCCTCTGTATAAACTGTACACTAAGAAACCTTATCAGCGTTATTATTGATTTTTATGGGTTCATCCACGCAATTATTATAATATCATATCTGTTCGGTTCCATTGTAGTAAACCTATCTTGCAAGAATTCTCTTTAAATCTAATTTCTCATGTACTCATAGAACCTCACAAATATGAGTTAATACTAATCTTATGAGGAAAAGAATGAAATAATGTAAATTCTTAAACTCGATGAAATAATCTTGATGCATTATTTAAAGAATACATCAAGATTATTTCATAATTTACATTATTATTGTATAAAACAAGAAATATAATTGATTGATTGATTGTATAAGGTATCGTAAGCTGATGAAGAGGTTAGAAAGAAGAAGAACTGTTGTTGACGATGATTGGTCAGTTTTACAGCATTGTCTAGCCGCTATACAGACAACAGGGAACCATCACACAAACTTTAGCTGGATAACTTTTGTACAGATTTGTTTGGGTTCAATTTGATGATTTGATTAATAGGGAATAAAATTCTTTTTCAAACTGATAAACTGGTACTATCGGAATGATTTTGATTTTGATTTTGATTTGATTTTGATTTTGATTTTGATTCTGATTTTGATTTTGATTTTGATTTTGATTTTGATTTTGACTTTGACTTTGATTTTGATTTTGATTTTGATTTTGATTTTGATTTTGATTTCATTCAAATTTTATTTAATTTTGATTTGATCCGCCTATATGTAATTTGATTTGTCTGAATTAGAGTTGATTTGTGTTGGTTTGAAAAGGAGATCTAATGTTGGAGATGGAGGAGCTGGATATGAACCTGTCCTTGATGTTTCTTGAGTCCACCAGGTAGGAGTTAAATCAGTTTTTGATTAATGAAGGTCCACGATTAAATTTGTGGTAGGCCACTTAATGTTTTTATGATAAACTATTATACAATTAAAGAGATTTAACAATGAATATGTTTTGGAAAGTCCGCATGAACTAGTCTCCTTAATTTTGTCCATAAATAAACTGTTCGGTCGACCCACATTTCATTGAATGTTGGGTTGTTTGTTTTTAACAATAATATTAGTTGGGTTCCGTTAGGTATAGTATTGGTTTAATTTAGGGGCTACCTAGGACCTGATGGAGGTGAGGATCCATTCTTCCAGCATCATGTTCTTCTCCTTAACCCAGCAGGGATTCAGGCTCTAACAACACTTTACACGAAGGTAATTATCCTATAGTGTCCGAATGAAACCTATTGTTGTGTTCCGCCTATCAGAAATGACCAATGATAGTTGGACCTATCGAAAGCTCTGATTTAGATTACAATTATGACATTGCTTAATGCAGGAGGGTGGGTCAATGGTTGAAGATCCCACTTTTGGGAAACATGGGGGGTCAAGATTATATTTTGCCCCCCCCCCCCCACATTTTCTAGAGACCAACTTAAAAGTTTACTGTAGATTTAATGTTATAAACAACACTAAGTTATTAAATATAATTCTTTCCGATCTTAAAAATTAAGTTTATCATGATAAATGCAACGATAAATATTTTTGGTAACATTACAGCAAAATAGGGGTGTGAAATTTTGTGACATTTTTCAGAAAATTTACAAAAGCAAAATTGTATTTTACTCGGAATTCTTATTGGCATGTTTTAAAAATGAATGTTTAAAAATCGGAAATGGCTCCCTGAAATGGCTCCCTGAAATGGCTTCCTGAAATGGGCTGTAACAATAAAAAATGTTAAAAAACCACTAATACAAATGAAAATTTAAAGTTTAATTAACAAAATTCTGATAGAGAAAATTTAACAAAAAGAATTTAACCATAGCTTACCCAATTTTTAATATTTTTGAACTCTGTAAATTTGTTGAACGCCGGTTTTCACGCAGAATTTATTGATATCCATTTTAAAATGCTTTTAAAAATTTGATTTTCACTGATACTAGTGATTTTTTACATTTTTATCTTTAAATCTGAGGGAGGCATTTTTTGTAAGACGTGCATTTTAAAATTATGTCTTCAAATTCCAAGAAGAATACAATCTGCTTCTGTAAATACAAATTGAATACAAATTGCTTCTGTAAAATGATTTCAGAAAAATTTCCCAAAATTGCACAGTGCACAATGCACACCTCTAAATGATAGTATTTGGTAAAAAACTTTTTTTTTGTAAAATGAGATATCCTTGAGCTAATTTACTTGCTATCCTTTTGTATATCAATATTTTTCATCCCTGAGATACCTGAACGAAAAATTTGAAAGTATAATTCTAAACTTCTAAGGTGGCAATATTTTTACATATTTAAGAGTAATTTGCTATTTTGAGTTCTTAAAATACTAACTCTCACAGCTAATTCCTTAAAAGAAATTGTGGGGGGCTCGGTGCTCCCCCCCCCCCCTCCCATCACAGTTTTATTGAGAGTTGGACCCTCCCTTTTCAAAGAGCTGGATCCGACCCTGTGTGTAGTTCACTTGGTTTATTGACTGGATGTATTGTTGTAGTTCATGATTGGTTTGATTTAATAATGCTTTCTGTGGATTTCATAAAATGTCGATTTGTAGGTTAATTTATAGATCTCGTTGATATGTCTAGAACGTCCTTTTTATAAACTTTAATTTATTTAATAACAGAGCCGAGCATATTATATTGACCAAACGATATTTAACATAACGCCTGAATTTGTTCAGGTTTCTGGAAGAACCGGTTCTTCAACCCCTATCTTAAACCAGGCAATGGAACTCCTCTCATCAGTCTCGGCTGAGTTACAGAAGACGACATTTAACGTCATGTTTCATCCAATCTCCTCTCAACTAGAGAAACTTCCCGGTAATAGTTAATACTTAGAAACACTTTTAAGTTACTACATTAAGAGACTTCACGTATGAGGAGTGAAGAGTTATATATATAAGTGGAGGTTTGGAGGTGGATATTCTGATGTTTTTGTAGAAGATCTGGGAGACTCGACTTCGGAGGACAGTAAAGTTTGGAGGCGGATATATCAAATTTAAGGTCTTGAAGGCTGGTTGGCGGATGTCGAAGAACAGTATAGTTTGGAGGCAGATATATCAATATACATATGTATATTCAGGTCTATAAGACTGGATAGCAGAGGGCATTATAGCTTGCAGGCGGATACATCAATTTATAATGTTAAGGTCTTGATAGCTGGACGGCGGAGGGTGGAGGACAGTATAGTTTGGAGGCGGATCTACCTGAGTTTAGTTTCTCACCCCAGGAGTATATAACACAGACTGGAGAATATTTGATGACCCTGCCTCAACATCTAGAGCCATATATGACGGGTTAGTTTAAAATTGACAGTGAATGGAAGGGAGCTCAAGTCTGAACTCTAAAGATTAAAGGATTGGTAGATACCTATAGCTCAGTCCTTCTCTTGACCTACCTCCCAAATCCGGTTAAAACATTTTTTTATGAGACGCAAATATCGACCTGACCATGCATAAACATCAGAGTTAAATCCAATCTCTATGCTCTGGGCTCGGAAATGAAGTAAGGGGAAATGAATTTAAAAGTCTTGATTTCTAATTCTTGTAAGATATTCCATTAGTCAAAACTGAAAAATTTGACCAAAGAAAGGCTGGTATTTGGTTAGATTTATCCGATTTCTTATTGGACAAAACGACAGAAAATTGGACCAATGAGAGACTGGTATTTGGTTAGATTTATCCGATTTCTTATTGGACAAAACGACAGAAAATTGGACCAATGAGAGCCTGGTAACTGGTTAGATTTATCCGATTTCTTATTTGACAAAACGACAGAAAATTGGACCAATGAGAGCCTGGTAACTGGTTAGATTTATCCGATTTCTTATTGGACAAAACGACAGAAAATTGGACCAATGAGAGCCTGGTAACTGGTTACCGATTTCTTATTGGACAAAACGACAGAAAATTGGACCAAAGGGAGACTGGTATCTGGTTAGATTTATCCGATTTCTTACAATACAAAACGACAGAAAATTGAACCAAAGATAAATAATAACCTTCCGGCGAGTTTAACTCCTTGCGTCCAATTAAGATTTTAAGATCGATCAATTTAAAAAATTTTATTTAGGAGACACTGTCACTCTGGCCAGGGCCTTCCGTTGCGGGGAGTTTCCTGGTTCTACTGATACAGGCAAATAAATAGATTAATTAGGATATCAGGTCTGAAGTTCTGGAGTGAATAAACAGAGTTTCCTATATTGTTTTTAGTTAATATGTATTTTTTATTTTATACAATAATACGCAAAAATAATGCAGTCGTTCAAGATTAAATATCCCATTTGGAATTAAAATGCCTGTACTAGAGCAAATGTTAAATCTTTTTTATGATTTTAGGGGCTGTAAAACTCTTAACTCGCTGTAATTACTTTTATATTTGAAGTTTTCGTCCAACAAATTCAAATTTTAAGCTGTGCAAGATCTATTATGATATGAGCCACACTGTATGACTCTCAGGAATATTTAAAGCTGTGCAAGATCTATTATGATGTGGGTCACCCTGTATGAATCTCAGAAATATTTAAAGCTGTGCAAGATCTATTATGATATGGGCCACACTGTATGACTCTCAGAAATATTTAAAGCTGTGCGAGATCTATTATGATATGGGCCACACTGTACGACTCTCAGAAATATTTAAAGCTGTGCAAGATCTATTATGATGTTGGCCACACTGTATGACTCTCAGAAATATTTTAGAAATTATGAATTCCTGTGAAGTAAACATTAAAATAAAAACATTGTCACTCAGTTGAAGAAAGCACAAGTTCATGCGTTGAACTACCTTCAGCCTAATATTAATATTGTTTTCTTAAGAAAAAGAATAATTCAATTTATATGCTGAAGTGACAACGTATGTTTAATTTTTCATTCAAATAATAATTAATTCGACGTTTTGGAGTTATGATATGATTTGATTTTTTGTATTACCAATATTTTGTTTATTTATCGTATAGATTTTGAAAGAATTTATTTCTGATCATACTAGAAAAACGCTACCAGATAAAACGCTAGGAGAGAAAAGCTACATTTTATTAGTGTAGCGTTTTTCTATGTACATAATATTTTTACGATCAAAAACAAACAAAAGATATACTAATGAAGTAATAAAGAATACGAAAATCGTTCCACAGTTATATGTTGACCACTATATATCTTTGTATTCAGGGGATAGAGATTCCCCAGTTGATTTTATCCTTGGATGTATTGCAGCCTCCACTTGTAGAACATACCTGGATCAGTTACCCAGGTAAACCCGGAGTTAGATCCTTAGCATTTTAAATAGCGTTTAAATGGACTGTAAGCGTAAATTCAAGTGACCCTCCATGCAAAGAGGTCAATGCCGATTCAAGTTTAGTGTTGGAAATCGTACACGCTACTTTATAATGGAGGGTCACTTGAAATTACTCGTACAGTCCCTTTAATATGTTTATGTTTATGTTTATGTTTATGTTTATGTTTATGTTTATGTTTATGTTTATGTTTATGTTTATGTTTAAGTTTATGTTTATGTTTATGTTTAAGTTTATGTTTATGTTTATGTTTATGTTTATGTTTATGTTTATGTTTATGTTTATGTTTATGTTTATGTTTATGTTTATGTTTATGTTTATGTTTATGTGGTGTTGATCCTCAGTACTCCTATTGGAGTATAATGAGAATTTCTTGATTTCACTGTAAATGATTTTAGTTCAGCTATAGTTCTGGTCATCATTGTTCATATCATTCACATTTTCACGTGTTCATCGTACTATTTTCTTAAATTCAGGCAAAATCGAGCAGAACCCAAAACAAACTTAAGACAATTGTTCCTTAACAAACGGAATAGTTTAATATAATTGAATTTTTTTTAAATGCAAATTTTAATTTGAAAATTTAAGTTTGTATCCAGTAAACTTTTTTTTGGCTCAACTAAATTTTATATTGTCATAGTTTATTATTAACAGGTGAGCTGATTTTACTGTTTATTTTTCTTGTATTTTTGTTTAATAAATATATCAAAACTAGGATCTCGAAAGTCAATATCACAGTTATAATATTTAATAAGTATCTTTTGTTTAATTTTGTTACTAGTCATTTTATTTGTTTTAAAACTGCCAATCATCTTTCAAACTAATTTATCGATCGTATATTTCGGAGTTTTTTTCTAACAAAGATTGTCAGATATCTAAGGTCTAAACTTTTGGTTTAAATTGCTAAATGGAATACCTCTTAATGTTTACTACGGAAACTGTTTCATTTTCGGTCCCCTCATTGGTCAACTCTCATAATAATAACCAATGAACGACGCATAGACACGGTCTTTAGAAGATGTAATCCCGATGGAAGAAATAAATGACTTATTGCGGGATTCAGGAACGGACTCAGCTGCATGTATCTAAACTAACAAACATTTAGGTTGCCAGTCCTTAGTGCAAACTCAACTAGACAGCTGGGAGTTGATATCGGTAAATATGAAATGTCCTTTACAAATTCGTTAATTCTCTCTGTTTTGCACAGCAGGCAGCACAGCGATGAGTTGATCCATCTTTATCCTCCTGCATTATGTTAATCTCGGTATGACGCCTGTGTCAAATTCTCTACAAAATTCTAGATAGAATTTAAACGATTGATTCAATCAATTGCTTATTCAATCTCCCCTTAGTTTTCCAAAAATTCAATGGATCTGTTGCTTTTCAAAACAATTTTTTTGGCAACGTAATTGTTTTACTTACTTAATTTGCTAATGGTATGACTTAGATACCTGCTTGACCGACTTACTGTATGTACCACTAATTGAATCACTCTCCGCCATCAATGACATGACATGACATGACATGACATGACATGACATGACATGACATGACATGACATGACATGACATGACATGACATGACATGACATGACATGACATGACATGACATGACATGACATGACATGACATGACATGACATGACATGACATGACATGACATGACATGACATGTCATGTTCGAATTAAGGGTGCCTGGGAGATATATTAGATGATCTTGGACACCCTCTCTCAAGCGACCTCTCTAGTGCGTCAGCTCTCCTTAGGATTCCATTGACGGGGTTCAGGTGATTTCACACTTTTTTTTATAGATTTGTTTTTTTGTTCAGATTTTTACTGTCAAATCAATGTATGCTGTTATAGAGATAACTTTCGGAAATTAAGTGAATTTAATTTGTCCTCCTTAAAGGGACTGATGCTGGATTTACAACAGTGCACTTTTGACCTTTAACTGAACTAGGTTACCGAACATATACTTTCCAGGCCTTGCTGAAAATGAATATTTTCTTTTGAAATTTTGACAATCGTGTTTGGCATAAAATATTAAGTAATTTCAAGGGACAAAAGTAACTGATCAGCTGTATCAAGTTCACACTGTGTGAAGCGTACACCCGGGTTTTACTGTAATTCAAAGGCTTTTCGATGGATTTACACACACCGATCTCTATACTCGATGTGCATACATAGGTTTAAAGAATACCATTCGGGCATTGCACTATTTGCATGGATGGTTACTTGAAATTACGCTTGCAGTTGATCCCTTTAAGATTTTAACTTTTACAATATTTTCACTTGTAGGGAAGAAAGCAACGGTTACCCCGCCAAGATTGTTCAAGTTATAAAATCTATTCGAGGAATTGAATAGTCATCCAAAACATCAAGATCATTCATCTGACGATCACTCTAGGATGTATTAAAGGTTTTGAAGGGAATGATGGTTAATTAAATCATCAAGATCATGAATCATTATTGTAATGATCACCCAAAATTAACTTTTTCGGTTTTGAAAATATCAAATAGTTATTTTAACAATTAAGATCTTTTATCTCAAGGGATCATTGATCAACATGTTTTTTTTATATCGTCGTATTATGTAGATTTATTTTTCACATTTTTGTTTAATTATTTTATTTGTACACATGAAATTATATTCGTGATAAAACTGTGATATTTAAAGTGATTTTTTTACGTAATTTGAAATAGTCCTTCAAGTTATGAATGCCATTAACGATTAACATAGATAATCTTTAAACCTTTTATCTAATAATGATCTATTATAATCAGAATTATCTCTATATGTATATTTTGCTCCTTCATTATATTTTTTAATTTGGTCTGCCTTTTTGTTCTTTCAAAATATAAGAGGCTAGCTTTGGAAACCTTCCTACACTTTCTTTCAAAAAGTCAACCCATTTAACTTAAAATGATTAAACCAAGCTAAGACCGAGGGTTTTATTGAGTTCCTCACCCAAATTTTGAGGCAAATTTCGGTTGTCCCTGCAAAGTATACCATGGCGGGATATCGAAGAGGAATTGAATAAATCCGTAAATCTCCATAATATATCTATCCTTGATCCAGGGGTTAACAACATAAAAGGTTTGACTTTGAACAGTTATTTATCGTTAGGTTAATTACGCATTTTTAACTAAAGGATCATTTAAAAATACGTGGACAAATCTTGGACCGTTTTTATTTATTTTTAGATTAAATTAAAATGTATTATTTATGCCTTTATACGTTAGAAAATTTCAGAGAGATAAAATGGCGCAATTAACTCGTATTGGAGAACTAATTGGTTCCTTCGTGTCACGTGACTATAAACGGAAACGTCTTCACTCGCACTCTGATGAAGATGTGGAATCTCCTGTTAAGAAAACTAAGAATGTAAGTCGGTGTCATGTTAAATTCAGGCTTTTCAGTAGTTTCGCAACAATGTTACTTTCTTGTATATTAAATTTCTATATATTTACAAGTTATTTTCAAGCTAATGGTTGATTTAGAAGTATAGCGTTTACTCATGATAATTTTGAAAGAAAAACGATATTTTCAGATCTGATATTTTTGATCGATCTTTTTGTCCAATGAAGATTTTTTTAAGAATTTAAACAACTTACTATTGACAGTAGTCTTATTAATGGTTTACTAAATTAATATTTACAGAATCAAACGGTACACAGCCTCAGTATAATTTAAATCCAAAGCACACCTTAATCCTATTTTTATTTTTTAATAATCATATTTATACAATATATATCTTTGCACTAAAATTGCTTTAAAATTAATTTTGTTTTTGGTAATTTATTTTATTTGTTCAACATATATTACCTTATAGCTTAAATGGACTATCGTCTTGATTGTAAGTGACCCTTCATTTAAAGAAAAGGGGTGCATGTCCAATTCACAATAGTACCCTCGGAACCTTTATTTGATCTATTATGTGCAGTCTAACGTCGTGTTTCCGGTTTAAAAAGTGTTTCTTACAACTTATCCATTGTGAATGTGCAAAATCACTTTTGCAGAATGCAAAGATAACAGTTCTTATAAACGAACACAAGGATATCTAATTAAACTTGATCAGAAAAAGCTTCCAAGGGTACTGTTGTTAATCGGATATGCCACTATACCACAGCAGTGTCATTTATAATTACGTTTTTAGTCACTTTAATGAACTCTTAAATTATATCATTAAATTATTTTATCTTTTTCTTGAAATATTAAAATCAATTTTGCAGGATTATGGCACCATAGTGAACAGTAACAGTTTATCAGCTCCCGCATTTCTACAACGCGTCTCAACATTTACAGATTTTATCTGGTGCAGAGATATACCAGCATTATCCCCTCTAGGTAGATAATTATTAGAGATTTTATCTGGTGCAGAGATATACCAGCATTATTAGATAAGTATTAAGACTTTTCTTTAAGCTTTCTTTCCTAGTTGAAATTATAAAGAAAAGTTTTTATTGTCGGACTTTGAAATCTATCAAAATTATTATGTAATAATCTTTAACTTTGTCCAGCCATAAACCTTTTGAGTTGCCACAACAATGGTGGGACTGATTAGTTGTGCTGTTTTGACTTTTATGGATACATACAAACAGACAAGCAATATTATAGATCAAACTTATTTTAGAAATATCTCGACACGGGTGGTTTTCAACTAAAGATGAGTTTATGGTTCGCTGTGCTTCCTGCCAAGAGAATCTGAACCTAACAGTACCTGCTCCTAGTTCCGGGATCAGGTGGGATGGGATACAACTTTTAATGCAGGGGTTTTCACAAAGTATGAGACTGTAAAGACGACCTAAAACTCATTTATTAGGACAATATCACGGATCTTGTCCTATTAAGTCTTCTGCCTTGAATTTTGTCTCTTTTTATGGCTTATTTAATGGTTTGGCAAGGTTAAAGTTACAAAATAACGTAAATACGAGGAACCAGACATTAAAAGTTCCGTGTAGTCATCTCTAAAGTCTTATCTTTTGTGGGTAACCCTGTATTTTCTTAATAAAAGGAATGTTAATGTAGTTTTAAATTATTTTAAAGGGATTTCTGACAGACGTAGTTTGGGCCAGGCCACTTCACTTGTTTATTTACAATTTACCATTTACAAAGGGGAAATCTGCCAATTAGATCAAAACCTACCTGATCTGCCAATTTTAAAGCTAGGAGGATTTACAAATTTAAAAACAGATTGTTAATTAAGATTACGTTAGCTCTCTTTTTAATCTGGCCTTTGGTTGATATTGTTTAACTTTGTTTTTTTGTAGTTTCCAAGAAAAACATTGATATAAATTGTTAACTAGGGAGAGTTGTATTGTAACCGCTGTGGAAAGATTGGTTTCAGCTCATGCTGAATTTTGTCCTTGGGCAGCCTCACCAAACCCAATAGATTGGACAAGGTGAGAGGGTTCATTGTACCGGGCCGACTTTAAAGCTGATAGAGCATGGCAGTACAGTACACGTACAGACTATATAAGGCAAACCGAGACATGACACCAGTTGATTCAGGGAGACTTTAGTGGAGGGACTCTGAAAGGTGGGAGGGGTCACTGGGAAACTTTTTGTGCTTTGATCTAATTCTGACATTTAAACACTGTACATGTTTTGCTAATATTTTCTTAGCCAAATTATCTGTTATTGCTGGATTAGATTAGAAATAAACTAGTTCCGAATATGGAAAAACTCATATTTTAATCTTGTTTCTTGACCCTCTAATTTGTGAGAGAAAAGAAGTTTTATATTTCTAGAGCCCAGGTTCCTGATCTTACTGCAGTTGCCTCTAAAGCTTTAGAGATTTCAACTCTGGGACTTAAACTTCCATTCATCAAGTAATTTTATTCTATTAATTTCATTCATCCTTATGCATTCATTCAATAAAGTAGCTTTTCTATCAATTGTCAATACAATAAATTGTATCAAAACTGAATGCCGCGTTGGGAAAAGACGACCTAAAATTCCTAATATTTTTTTGCATTAGTATTCATTTATTCTATTTTCACGTAAACTTTTTTTCTTTCGTTCATTCCAACATGAACAGGCATTTTTTTGCCATTATCTTTAAGCTTATTCTGGAAATGCCCCGTAAGGGAAAGACGACCTAAAGTCCTTATATTGTCGTGTATTAGAAGTGATGTAAAGGATGCCTGGTGCATCTCCTTAAGACAACTAAGATCTGAGGCTCTAGAGGATATAGAGGATGAACAAGTTCGGGAAACTAGCTGTATCCTAGGTCAGCATAATTTTGTAAAGTTTCATTGAATTATTTTGTTCTTAACAAAAATGTTGTATGATTCATAGAAGGACTGTTTTTAGGCGGTTTCATGTATTTTGTATAATTTAGTATTTTTAGAATCTATACAAAAATGCAAAAATACACGACTTTTTCTTTAACAATAATAATGTGCCTGGTTGGCTTTGATTTAATTAAAAAACAATATAATTATTCATATTTAACTTTTTTTTAATCTCTTTAGAACAGCTTAAATCTTTTACTTGTGTTCAGCTCTATGGGGTTGTTTGCTATACTCTTTTACTTGTGTTCAGCTCTTTGGGGTTGCTATACTCTTTTACTTGTGTTCAGCTCTTTGGGGTTGCTAAACTCTTTTACTTGTGTTCACCTCTATGGGGTTGCTATACTCTTTTACTTGTGTTCATCTCTTTGGGGTTGTTATACTCTTTTACTTGTGTTCAGCTCTATGGGGTTGTTAAACTCTTTTACTTGTGTTCAGCTCTTTGGGGTTGCTAAACTCTTTTACTTGTGTTCAGCTCTATGGGGTTGCTATACTCTTTTACTTGTGTTCAGCTCTTTGGGGTTGCTTTACTCTTTTACTTGTGTTCAGCTCTTTGGGGTTGCTATACTCTTTTACTTGTGTTCAGCTCTTTGGGGTTGCTATACTCTTTTACTTGTGTTCAGGTCTATGGGGTTTTTAAACTCTTTAACTTGTGTTCAGCTCTATGGGGTTGTTAAACTTTTTTACTTGTGTTCAGCTCTTTGGGGTTACTAAACTCTTTTACTTGTGTTCAGCTCTATGGGGTTGTTAAACTCTTTTACTTGTGTTCAGCTCTTTGGGGTTGTTAAACTTTTTTACTTGTGTTCAGCTCTATGGGGTTGTTAAACTCTTTTACTTGTGTTCAGCTCTTTGGGGTTTTTGCACTCTTTTACTTGTGTTCAGCTCTATGTGGTTGTTAAACTCTTTTATTTGTGTTTAGCTCTATGTGGCTGGAGGTTGGGTTTGGTAGAGGACACCCTCCAAGACGGATACGGGATCAGAAGGATAGGGGTCTGGAATTTTGTCAGTATTGTGGTTAGTAAACTTGGATATCAAAAATTACGTTTAAGAAAACTAAATTACGTATCATACCTGAATGCTTCACAACATTACCCTTAAATTCTTTATGAATTATGGCGATTTCCTCGCTTTTCGGTTTTAGTTAAGAAATTAATACGAAATTAAGAATTGATCCATCAATTCATCCAATATTTATTCCAAAAGAAACTCAGATTTTCTCATCCCTACACCTTTGCAACCCGATTTCCTAGATACCTTTGCAACCCGATTTCCTAGATATATGATATTTCAAAATATGAATTCTGCCAGATAAAATTATCAAATTTTGAAATATCAATTGTCTACACTTATCAGGTTGGAAATATATTGGAATTAGAACATTAAATTTGATTTTATTTAATAAACATTGAATGCAGTAAAAGAAATATTGATGAGCTGGATGGATACGAATTTAATGAACTGAAGTCCTTAGTATAACCAGCAAAACCTCAATACTGCTTAGGACTAACAATTCACGTTTACAGGAAGAGGAGGATGCTCTTGAGGCACGACGAGTAGCAGAAGAATTAGGACAAACAATTCAGGAAAAAAGGTATTACGATTTTATTTCGAGGTTGTAAAACAAGCATAAAATGGTGATTTTTGAAAGGTTACTGAACTTTGATTTTGACTCAATACTTTTATGTTATGTGAAATCTTGTAATACTTAATCACGCCCAAATCTTTAAAGAACCCGTGTCAAGTAAGACATTTTGTAATATCTCTTTCAATATTAATAGCAGCCGGTTCTATTTTTGAACGTAGACTCATATAATTTGTTAGGAGCAGGATATGAAGTCAGATTGTCGATATCTCTTTCCGGAGTCTTGGAACCTCTGAAAAGTGCCCTCCGTCGGCTTCGATTTTTTATCTTCGGCCTCGTTGGACATAAATAGCCCATTTTTTAAATATATACTCCCAATGACCCCTAAAATACACATTAAAAAAAATTATTTTTTTTATCACGTTTTTGATGTCTAAACAGGGTGTCAAAAATTGCGTTTTTTTTGATTTTTTATTAATTGCAAAAATTCACAAGTTCGGATAAAAAATGTCGGAGGAAAAGAAAAGATAAAATATTATTTATATTATTATCTAACACATTGATGAATGATAAAAAATCGGAGCCGACGGAGGTCACTTTTCAGAGGTTCCAAGACTCCGGAAAGAGATATCGACAATCTGACTTCATATCCTGCTCCTAACAAATTATATGAGTCTACGTTCAAAAATAGAACCGGCTGCTATTAATATTGAAAGAGATATTACAAAATGTCTTACTTGACACGGGTTCTTTGAACTTTGAACTTGGAGTTTAGTCAAATGAGAAATTGTGATTTAGTTGGCTCATATCAGCTGATAAATCCGGATGGGAAGAGATACGTAAATCATTTGACAGAGCGTAGTTTAGGACTGATTGTAGACTTTGGGTGTGAATAAATACTTAAATTCAGTGACGGAATACATGTTTTGTAAGACTCAGGAAGTAAACAATGCTTTCGAACCCTCTCACGATGTATATTATGTAGGGCAGATAATCCGGGAAGAAAGAAACACTAGAACCCTCTCAAAGAGTATTTTATTCCTCTAAAAGAGTATTTTTTGAAGGACGTATACTCAGGGTTGGAAGAAATACTTTATCCTCTGAAAGAGTATATTTTGTCGGACGGATAATCCAAGTGGAAAGAAATATTTTAACCCACTGAAAAGTATATTAAGTGGGTGTGATGAAATATTTTAGTTCTCTGGCGGAGTATAATTTGTAGGACGTATACTCCGGGTGGGAAGAAATACTTAACCCTCTGAAAAAGTATATTTTGTAGGACGGATTCTCTGGGTGGGAAGAAACACTGTAATCCTCGGACGGAGCATATTTTGTAGAACGGATACTCCGGGTTGAAATAAATACTTAAACCCTTTGATAAAGTATTTTTGTAGGACGGATACTCCGGGTGGGAAGAAATACTTTAACCCTCTAACGGAGCATGTTAGCTGGAACCCTCTCCTACAGAAAAGGGATGGATTGCCTGGTTGGAGATATATTATTGGACAGGTAAATCTATTTAATAAAAGAAGACATTTCTATATTTGTACCCTATAGCCGGTCAAACGGCTGGACCGAATGGGCTGACATTTTTTAAGGGAACCCAGTCTAATAAAAATTCAATTATTTTTTTTTCAAAATAAAGTGAGCAATTCAAACACATTTAACAAAAAAGTATTAACCTTTGTGTTTTCAGTTTGAATTTGACATTCATATTTTGATTCCAGACAGAACTTTTTGGCGTACAAAAATTAAATTTTCTTTAATCAAATGCAACGTTTTACCTTTGTGTATGTTTTCAGATTAGTAATATGCTTCATGTACGCACCACCTTCCCTTGTACAAGCAAAGTTTATTCTAACGAATCAGTTTACTGAATACTGATATTTTAATTAAAGAAAGAAAACCGAAATAAAGTAAATATACAAAGATTAACAACAAAGCATTAAATTAAGGTCAAAAAAGAACAAAGACCGGTTCAATTGTATAGAAAAAAAACTTGCAAGCTGGAATAAAATGGGTTTGCCATTTTTAATTTTAACTATTTGTAGTGTAAGATCTATTTAAGGCTTCTTAACGTCCTGTTATAAGAAATAACTAAATTAGAAAATTATCTTTAAATTAAAAACAAAAAACCGGTTTAACATAATAGGAGGTATAATTTTATTTTCATAATTTAAATTGTTTAAGGTGAATCGGAAGCTGATAACAACTGAGATGGGTGATAGTGGATCTAAGGTTGCCAAGGACTCCTTCTCCGTTCTGAGAAAAGTTCGTGACCTTATTGATCATTGGTGAAAAATTTATCAATCGATTGATCAGTGGACCTTCCGGTTATTCTGGTGATCATATATTCCTATTATTTCTTGTTCCTGGAAATTATATAATTGATCTTAGGGTTTTTTAAATCCAGGATCAATCGTAGCCTTGATCTTAGGCCTAGTTATAATCATCATAGAGCTTCTTGTGATCAATCAAGTTATTTATCAAGGGATCGAGTGAAGATAAAGCCGATCAAATTGACTTATTCTCCATTAAAACCAAAGTAAACTATGGAGAATCCTCATATTCTAGCGTGATAAATGTTTTTTATGGAAGGTTGGCAAATCGACGTTTATCTAGTTTAAAAAGCTAGTTTATTATTAATGCTCAACCTAAATTATGTATTTTATAAATTGTAATTTCAGAATCAATGGTGTAGCTTGAACACATAGGCGAGTTAAACTGCTTCAGGTATACTTGAAGGTACTTCCTATTAGAAGAAGAGAGGGGGGGGGGCATCTCATCCTGAAAATTATTATCAAGGCTCTTGATGCACTAGGGTTGATGGTCCTAAGCCTAAAACTCTCCAGTAGACATTCTGTGGCAGTACAAACTTTGTACTGTTTGTTTTTTAATTGTCTTGTTTATTTATTAATAAAAAGTTTCTTACCATCTAATCTGTAATCTTTCAAATAATTCTGAAGCATGGGTTAATTCTATTATTTGAAGTTCGGTTTATACCGTATGTCACGAAAGCAAAAATAAACTAAGTTCTCCTTGAGAATTTAAACGGCGAATTCATTTGTTTAAAAACTTGAGTTGTAAAAGATAAGAAATTTATTGTGAAGGAAAACGAGGTTAAACAGTAAACTGTGAACAGTCTTACACTCCACAAATAGACGCAAGAGGGGCCAAAAAATAAGTACTTAAAGGACCGAATTTAATTAATTGAAAAGAGGTCGCTGAACCACCTACCGCTGGTTCAAATCCTTAATATTTTTTATTATTAAGATTTATTCACACACAAAGATATAAACACACATATAAATAGTGTAGTTTAAATTTGTTTAAATAAATTTTTGAAAATACAGGTTTCCAAAAGAAAAGAGAAAAATATGCAAAACTATGCACAAATAGACGACATTGATCATTGCTCATTACATAACATATTTAACATTTCAGTTATTACGTAATCATCGAATCCTTCAACATATAAGTTATTCGTTCTTGTATTTAAAAGTTCTTGTAAAACGGGAACTTTCCATGCATGGTCCAATGGGACATCAAAATATTTCATTTGTTTCTTAACTAACATTTTAATAAGATCCGAAGGATTTACAGAACAATCATTTGCAATAGAAAATAAATTTCTGCCAAGAACTGTGTTGAGGTCATTTTTACATGCTAAAGATTAAATAGGATTTAAAGCGTTTTAAGATAGGAACTGGCTGTAGTTAGTTCAGCGACCTTTCTAATTTATAAAATTCGGTCCCAGGTTAATATTTGGTGGGATGGGTCTAATTGTTGAAGTCCTGATAATTCGTTTCATAAAAAAGAACGAAAATACGCAAAACAAAACATTTTCTGTAAACCAAGAATGTGTTTTTGCACGCTGCGCATAAACTGACAATGCTCTCAGCATGAGTTGGATTGGTGTAATTTGTGTCTGCACACCATGATTTTGATTCTTAATCTTCATTTTTATTTTCACAGTTGAGATCAACTATGTCTGCATAATTAGCTATTTTTCAAACTTTCTGGTTTTAATCAAAGTAATAAGAAGTAAAACGCATATTTCTAGCAAAAATACGCTTAAAGGCATACATAGGACTCCCACCTAAGCTACGTAAGGTAGAGGGGGCGGGGTTCCTCCATAAAACCTACTTGAAAAAGGTGTTTAATAATTTAAGATAATAATGATTTCACATTTTTTACATACAATTATTCTTATCTATTAAGTTGTGTCAAAGCGTAAGAACACTAGCAATAATAATTACTTACTTTGTGGGAATAAACATACTACTGCCACTGTTTGCGGTATTTCATAGTTATAATGTAATTATTATTGATAATGTTGTTGTCTTTACAGTAAAGTAATTTCAAGTTACCCTTCATTTAAAGATGGGCAAAGAGCCGATTTACAATGGTTCTGTTAAAACCTTTATTTGGTCAAAAATATGAATGGAAGATATATCGTCTTTTTTCTTGATTTTAACAGTGTTAAACCTTGAAACTTTCCTTCATTGTTTCTCTAACAGGAATCCGCAAGTAACGTATAAAGAAAACCAAAAAGAAAATATGAATAACTTTTCAATTTTTGGCATTTTAAAGCTTTTTAGGGTACCTTTGATTATTTGACATGCCTCTCAATAAATGGAATGTCACTTGAAATTACCTTTTCAATAAAGGTGATCGATTATGGCCATTGTGCACTTCCCTCTATATGCATAGGATTGGTTTTAGATATTAAAAAGGCGATTTTTTCGCAAGTTAAAATTGCCAACCGGTAACCGGTTTTTATGAAATTTAAGGTTGAATAATTCACTCATGCAGGCGAAAAATATTCTTCCAAATACATTGGTATGGGTACCAAAAGATCCGTCTTAAACACTGAATTCAGAACTTCTTAAGTTTGAGAAACTGATATTTGAGACCCAAATATCAACTTTTTGGCCATAATCAAACTTTTTTTAAATATTTAAACAAAAACAACAGGACAGTATTCACCGGCTCCAGACGCATCTTTAGATACCAATTTCGTTGTGTTTTGAAAAAAATCAATATTTTTTTACTAGTGACTGTTATGGGTTTTTCAAATGCTAAATGTCAATCGCGGTCACGGTTTTTAGACCCATAAGTCTGAAATTCGGATAAAACTCTTCTCTTACTTTTCAATCCTTGTATTTTAGGTCTGGTTGTGTTAACGACAAGTGTACAAGATCGGGTTGTATTACAACTAGTGTATACAAGTGTACAAGATCGGGTTGTATTATAACTAGTGTATACAAGAATACAAAGATGCCAGGGAAGGAAGGGGAGCCACCAACTCCACAGCAGCTTACAGATCTTAGGAATATATTCATTCATTCATTCATTCATTCATCCTTCATTTTATTTACTTATTCATTCGTTCTTTTTTAATTTTTATTATATTCATTCAAATATTCTCTATTTTTTGTTATCAAAACATTTTCCCATTTTAAATACTGATCAAACAAATAATTGAATATTAGAAAAAAAGCGCTACAAAAAATTGAAGACGTTGGAAAAGGTAATAGAATTCTAATTTTTATTTTTTTTTATTTTTACAAATAATTTCATGTTGAACAGAAGCTCAAGCCAGATTTTCTGAAATACTGATTTTTGACTCGACTATTTTCTGTACTTCTCTATAAATACTGATAGACTTTTATAATTATTAATATTCATTATTTCTGCATCTTTAAAGGGACTGATTTGTGATTTCAATTGACATTTTCATGAAAAGATGACAATGCCCGACTCACAACGGTACCCTTAAAAGCTTTGTCTGATCAAGTATGAAATAGATATCAATGTTTATAATTTTGAACACTGAATATTTTCAATTGTAATTTCTCTTCAAAAGTTACTTAATTAAACACTTAAAAAACTAGAACAACAACAATATCCTCTTCAATCCACATTATTAAGATTAAGGTTTTAAAGGTTACGGTTGTAAAACGGCTAATGACATCGCATGCAGGTTTACTTGAAATTACACTGACTGTCCCTTTAATAAATGATAATAATTTTTAATTTAGCGAGCTTTTTATCTGCCGATATCGCGAAGATTAGTGAGAGTGATCATTATTTAACGAGGTAAGTTCAACAATGAAAAATGTTTAATATTATGGAGGCTGGTTACAAGTCTTAGATTCATAAAAGAATAAAATCTAATTCACCGTTCAACAAAATAATACTCCCATTGAGATCCAGACAGTTTCGAAAATTATTCACCAAATTTCAACGCCAGGTCGACTGTACAGTGTTGAATGGCCCCTGGCCTTGGTTTTTACATCACTACCTCGGTTTAAAAAAAATTAGCCCTAGACATGTTAATTTATAACTATAATCCGATTGTTTCTTGCTTCAGTTTAAAAGGCAGTTGCCAAATACTAGATGTTGCGCGTGTGCGTCCACATTTTGGTTCATCGTGCTTCATCACTAAAGATAAGTAATCTGTAGGTTCTGGTTGCATGTGTTCGATCTACCTGGAGAACAGGAGGATGAAGCTGCTCACATGATTTTAGGTAATTAGAAATAAGCTTAAAATTCGGTGATGGTGATGGACCAAACCTTTGTAGAGTAAAAAAACTAGATGTTAGTTCCACATTTATTGAAAATATATTTCGGTCTGGGTTGACCCTCGTCAGTTCTTGAAATTGTTTCTGTCTCGAAGATTTTAACGCCTTACTTCCATTTTTAAGGAAATCTGCTATTATAATTTTTTTTCCGCCCCAACCAATTGTTGTTGTTGTTTAGAAACCTTGAAATGGCGGAATGATTTTGGAGTAGACAAGATCAGTCGGGATAATGTGAACCAGGCGTTCTTTGATAAAGGAACAGTCTTCACTCATAACAGGAATCAGAGATGCAGTACTTTTTAATGAACTTTGGAATTTTATTTTTTTATGGATTTTATTCACTTTGTAACTCGCATAAATTTTTTATTGGATTTTATTAATTTTGGAACACACTTTTTTATTTATATATTTAAAACTCCAAACCCTTTTTATTTTATTTTATCCGTCACTTTTTCAGAGAACCCCCATTCAGAATGTAAAACATAGACATGTCCTTAATTTGTGCTTAAAGAATCGTACGCATTATTTTTTGTTTATTTATTAAACCCACTTGCTTTCATTATTCAAAGTTACTATTTTACATTTATTTCCTTTTAGTTGGCTTGGGTCGGGTTTTAATTATTTACCTATCCTTTTTTTAACAATTTCACTGTTTTGAAATTTTTACGATATTTCATCTTGGACATTAATGTAGGGATAAAGACGGGAAGAAACTTCTAACCTTTACGGTTGGGCGACATATCAAGGTATAGTCAGGGCTCAAAACTTATGAATTTTAAATCTTTTCATAATCCGTTCAGTCGGTTCCCCACCCCACACCAATGGAACTATAATTTAAATTAAATAATTTATAATTGTAAAAACTTAAGATTTTATCTATCGCTGCAAATGAACATTTATATTTTTTTTAAATCATTAAAATCTTCGTTAATGCCAATTTGTTTGATTAACTGCCAGTTAACTAATGATATTGATAATAAAAAAACTTGAACCCTCGATAAGGAAAAAAAATGTTTTCCAATTAACATCAAAGCACTACTTCCGGACTTAACTATTATTAATCTATATATAAATTTAGCATGACTGTCTGTTTGTTTGTATCCAATTAACGTCAAAACGGCTGAACCAATCAGGCCCAAATTTTGTTTGGGACTTTACGTGGCCCTAGGGAAGGTTTATGAAAATGATCAAAATTTTAAAAATTTGTGTTTAATAGTTTTTTTTTAGTTTTTTTATACTGTACAAAGAGAAGATGCTCACAGATAAAGCCACAATTAAAAGTTGAATTAAAAGATGGGCGCGAAGCGCTCTAAAAAGCCTAGCAATGATAAAATTAATTAAATGTTTACCATGAACCACTAGTTTTCATTAGGTTTCATAAGTGATTCAAGATAGACTTTGTGTTAATCATATTCTTATTTAAATAATTTTATAAATGTTATTTTCTGTTTGAAAGTTCGTAGAAATCAAAAGAATTTGATGATTAAATTAGCAAATATATTATACTATTAAAGTCGACTGCTACGCTGATCTCCATGATATGAATATTAAATAAATTATGTTTTAAATTTCAAGTCTAGATGGCTAAATCTAATATTCATATGTTGGATGTATTTTCAATGGTTGATTATAATAAAAAAATTGAATTATTAACTAGTTGAGAAGTTTTAAAAAGATATTTGTTTCACATTCAAAATATTTATTCACTCCACAAAATTATCCATTTTTCCAATTAATCTCGAATAATAGAAAAGCAGCTAGTTCGATAATTTTTGAAAATGTCTTTTTTCTCCTTTTTTCTTTTCTCTTCTTTCCCTTCTTTTTTCCCTCCCCTTTTGGGGTAATAAATATGATATTTTTGTCCCCAAAAGGTTTAGCATAGTTTTCTTATGTGAGCTAAAACTAGCTGATAAAATTTTTTCCTTTTTTCTTCTCTTTTCCCTCTTTCCCCCTTTTTTTCCTTTTTTCCCCCAACCGGCCATTTAACTCATAGTTTTGCAATAATACATCTTACATATATGTGTCTAGGGTGCTGAGAAGATGGATGAGATGAAACGGTTCTTTGTTTACTACCTAGAGCGCCTAGAACGGTATACAATATTTTAAATCACATATATCATAAAAATATATATTTTTTAAATTTATATATTTTTGCTATAGCTGACTATACGGAATCAAATCTTTTAAGTTATCATAATTAACTGAAGCACACCAAGGCAATTCTTCAACGAATTTATAACAATTAAAACTAGCTGAAGTGTCCTTGGAATTAAAAAACACTTAGGAAAAAAATGTAAGCCCGAATTTTGTTCAGCTGTTTGGCCATTTACAGTTAACATATAAATATAGATATATGAGCGAAGAGCTTTCGTATATATAGATTTTTTCGTTTGAAATGATTAAAATGAAAAAAAAACGTATTGCCCTTTTTTTAGAGAAGAGCAGGGGGACCTGATCACGATAGTATTCGACTGTAGAAATGCTGGACTCAAGAATATGGATATGGAATTTATTCAGTTTATAATAGGAATCCACCAAGTTATACTTTTTACCCCCCACCCCCCCCTGCACCACTATTTCAAGGTTAGAGAGATTAAAGTAGAAGTTATCTCTTACACTAGAATTGTATTACTATATGGCTTCTTTCAATTCTTTACTAAAAATCTCTAGTCGTTGGTATTTCTTAATGGGATCAACAAAATCAGAACACATAGTTATCAACTTAAAATAGTTTTAGCATTTTTACTGTTACACGGCCGGTTGCTTGTTGGGTTGAATCAAAGTTAGGTCAGGTTTTCGTGAATTTTGAAGAATAATATTGGTGGATTTCAAGGTGTTTTCAAGGATTACTATCCAGAGATGTTGAATTACATTCTTGTATTTGAGATGCCCTGGGTTCTTAACGGTAAACCTTTTTTTTACATGTTTTAAAACAATGGCGGATGGTTCGAATGCCGCGCTATTTTTTTCTTTTTTTTGTGTTCAGCGGCATGGAAGATAATCAAGGCCTGGTTACCAGCGGCAGCTGTCAAGAAAATAAAGTTTCTAACGAAATCCAATATGGGAGAGTACATAACTGATGATAACAGATTAGAGGTGTGGATTTTTATTTCTTTGATTTGGATGATTTAAAGTTTTTCTTATAAATAAACAATATGATAATAGGCTTGGGGTGGTTCCGACCCCTGGGAGTACTGTTTTGAGGAGGAATCCGTTGCGAACGTTGTGAACAATCATTCAAAGACAAATGGAACTGGTTCCTATATTGAAGTTATTGATGGTTAGTAGGATTCATTATTTAATATAACTAGCTTGGGAACCCAGCATTGCACAGGTTACTCATAGCTACCCTCGCCGTTTACCCGCACTTGAACGATTTTACCGGGAAACTGAATTTTCGCCATTAAAGTCGACCCACTCAACTTAGAATCTCAAAACCAAGTTAAGAACATTTCCGTGGGACTCCCGAGTTCCTTCAATCAAAATTTGAGACAAATCAGTCAAGGGGTTTCTGAGTTATGATCGGACAAACAAATAAACAGACAAACAGAAATTACAACTTAATATACATAGATGCAACCCTGTCAGAGTTGTGAACTGCACATTGCACAAGTTTTTATGTTGTTTTTCAGATTCTCTGAGAATGAGTCAAGAAGATGCATTAAAGAAGAAATCAGTAACATTTGCTGAGGTTAGGACAATGATAATAATTTCTTTATTTTGAGAACGATTTCATCAAAACTACTTTTTGTAAATTACGTTGATGCCTTTGTTTAAAGTTAATGAACAATATGAAATTATGAACCCATTAGGTTTTAAACTTAAATATTTCAAGGTGCCTTGTAGTCACGAGTTTGTTTCCATTTCTAAGAAAAGCCATATAATTATTTCTTAAAGAGTTCCATTTTTCAGGTTCGCGGAAGTCCTAGTTTGGACAGTATGTCAAGCTTTTCATCTTCTGGTAACAGTGGTCCAGAGATACTCAGTCTTAATCCTAGTCAGGAGGTAGGAATACAGAGATACTCAGCCTTAATCCTAGTCAGGAGGTAGGAATACAGAGATACTCAGTCTTTATCCTAGTCAGGAGGTAGGAATACAGGGATACTCGGTCATAATCCTAGTCAGGAGGTAGGAATACAAGGATACTCAGCCTTAATCCTAGTCAGGAGGTAGGAATACAGGGACACTCAGTCTTAATCCTAGTTTGAAATACAAAACCCAGATCATTTTTCTTATTAAGTTGTTTTCAACCTTTTGCAAAAAAGTAAAAAGTATAAATTTTAAAAAAAATTAAATAAGATATTTTTTTATAATTAGGTTGTATTTTCCGCCTCCGCTGGCGGTGAGCTTATGGCGAGATTTCAGGTGTCTAACATCTGTGAAAGAAGAGTTGGTTATAAGATTAAAACCACTTCTCCGGAGAAATACAAAGTTAAACCCTCATCTGCTATTCTTCAACCAGGTAGATAAATAAAGGTTAAAATATTAATATTGATTGTGAAGTTTTTACAGAATTATGAAGGAAAGTTGTTGAGTTTATGTTTTTTTATGTTAGGGCCATTTTCTCTCAGCCCTGACTTCTACGGAATGATGGTTGATTGTTTGTTTATTTCCAAACTTCATCTTTAAACCTATTTTAATAAATATGACCCATTTTTTCATTTAAATGTCCATTTTCTCAATCCGGACTTGTATTTTTTTAATGATTTGCTTTATGGGACTGTCAACTTAATTTTAGGGACCCATTCATCTTAATATTGGCATGTCCGGAACCCTTTAAACCTCTTTTTGAGTAATAATGTGGAAGATATTGTTTTTAATGATATAAATAAATTAAGGACAAAGTGAAGTAGTTGAACTACGTATATCTGGTTCCAATGCTCCTGTATCATTGATTAGAGACAAGTTCCTCGTTACTGCGATATATATTGAAGATACTGATAATAATAATGCAAGGTACATTCAAATGCTTTTATGTCTTTTTATTCATGATATGCACTGCAGTGCTTAGGATCTGGATCCGAGGGACAAAAATCGACAAAAAATTGTAAAAAAAAACCTGTCCTCAACCCCATATCTCAATTGGTAAAAAAGAGAGATTATTAAAAATATTCCTTCCTTTAAATGGTTCATCAAGTTACAGTAAAAAAATCCAGGAAAAGATCTATTGTTTTTAAAAATCAGTTAATCTGAAAGAAAAGTTCATGTCTTGAATCAGCATCAAAATTAAATGGATCCTAAGCAGTAGGCACTGCCTATGTGATTTGACTTAAGAAAATCCTTCACAATACATGCACCACGTTATCCTTGAATGTTGATAACATTAAAACCACTAGTAGTCGTCTAGCCATATTTACATTTATTTTTGTTCAGATTTCAAGAGCTTTTAAAATCTTCCAAACCGGACGCACAGTACAGACTACGGTAAGTGTGTTTTAACAACTGTAAAATAAATGTCGTTTTAACATAATAGTTTTTACTTTTATGTTAGAAATGTGTTAAGAGTTTTGTCTTTTTCAATTATTGCAATCGGTATCTTTATGATAATTTTTAAGGAAACTTTTCAGAAATAGTTCAGTTGCAAATTATTGAGTTACCCTCAAAGGATTAGATTTCAGTGACGACTGTACGGAATTTGTACTGTTTATTTCCTTAAAATCATAGTTCCCTGCATCTTCAAACTGGTTTGTTTCATTGTCAAATACTAGTTTTGATTTTGTTTTTTTTAAATAATATTTAGCTTACAACTTGTTTTCGAACATTCCTGGAAAATATGAAAATGTCGTCTTCATTACCAAAAATCCTCGAAACAGGAATAAACGTTTTTATAAGTAACTCTCAGATCATAACAATTAAAACATATTATGAAAAATCAACTATATACAAATGTGGCGAAAGATAATCGATGACTATAGGTTGTAATATCTGAATGATTTGTTTGAAATTAAATTGATTTTTTTACGGTCTAAGTCGTATGTTGCAATTTTCTCAATTTGTATGGGCGCTACGCTCTTCGGTATGAGACGTCTTTAACAATTTTCTCCTTATAGACGCAACAGATAGAAGTAAGATTAGTGGCGATCAAAAGCGCTTTTTTATCGCATTAAGCCTATACCCCCTTTCATTTTTCGCGAACACTCCCTTTAAAATTAAGAAGATGACGAGAATTCCATTGATTTCTGGTTCTCTCTCTGTAAGAAAAAATATTTCATTTTTCAAAAATAATTGGAACCATGGTTTTATTTGTATATATGCAGACTTGAGACTACTGATATTTTTTATTTTATCAATGTAAACTAGTTTTGTGTCCATCAATGTCAGCTGTATACATAATAGCAAAAAAAATCTGCTTTCACTCCGATTTATATTCGAACCGTATTGTATTAAATACAGTCTTTTGGTTACTTTTGAAGGTTGATTGTTTATTATTATTATTATTATTATTATTATTATTACTTTAGATGTCAGCTGGCTGGTGAACAGCAACCTCCGACCTCCATATCTTCTAAGCTAGCCTCCTCTTCCTCCTCGGCTCCTGAGGATCCGGGCAAACAGCTTTCCCTCCTCCTTAGAAAGGTTGGAACTACTTTTAACCATATGCTGTTGAAACCCTATTTTTTCACGCTTATTAAAACAATCTTTTCTACTCCAGTATAAAATCACATTTTTTATTTCTTTAAGCTGTGTGTGCAATGTTCATCTTAAAACAATGCAAACAATTCACCACCAAAAAAGTAATGTAATTATAAATATGTATCTTTCTTTTTTCACTATTACCACAAACTTTTTTTGAAGGTTTTTAAATATTTTGTTATTTGTATTTTTTGTTGTATTATTCAAATAGATTACTTAAATACTAATTTAATACAAATTTCCTATATTGAGTTTCCAAGAAAAGGGAGGTTTTTGGAGCAATTTTTGCATTTCTAACTCTCAAGTTTGGGGGCTGCAACTTTTAATTCTTGAAGGTTTTTTCACATTATGAATGACTTAAGAGTATAGAGTGTCAAAATATCAGAATTCTATTTGTTTTCAATTGTATGTACTCACTAACTAAATATGTCTGGGGAACTGTTTTATTTATTCATTTATTTATTTATTTTTTTCATTTATTTATTTTTTATTTATTTTATTTATTTATTCATTTATTTATTTAATTATTTATTTATTTATTTATTTATTTATTTATTTATTTATTTATTTATTTATTTATTTATTTATTTATTTATTTATTCATTTATTTATTAATGTTTAACAAGTCACAAAATATTTGCTTCGACAAAGTTTTCCATGTATTTTTGACCAAAGAACTTCTTTCTCCAAAAAAAAACTTTGCGTAAAAGTGGAAACGTTCTTTAAAATCCGATTTTCTAATCCAACTTGGGAGGAATCTTTTTTCCTCCCTTGTAAATTGAGGAGCCAAGATAGCTGTGCACAGCCCTCTCTTTAACCAATAAAATTGTCGGAATTTATCTGCAATATGGCAGACAGCTTAAGTAATATTTTAAATATTTTGAACAGTTTGTTTGGTTAAACATAATACTTACTTTATTCAATTAAATCAATTTAAACTTAAAACCAACAAATATTCCGGGACCGAATTTAATAAATTTGAACTGCCTACTGCCGGTTCAAATTTGAACTGCCTACTGCCAGTTCAAATTTGAACTACCTACTGCCAGTTCAAATTTGAACTGCCTACCGCCGGTTCAAATTTGAATAACGATTCAAATCCTAAGGTATAACCAATCGGTTGTTCAAATTTGAACCGGCAGTAGGTAGTTCAGCAACATAGCTTAAATATTCATTAAATTTGGTCTCTGGTTGATTACTTGTGAAACGAGACTTGAGTTTGATCCAACATAAAGCTGATATCTGGTTGAGAACTTGACAAGATATTTTTTATTTAGATAAACCAGATCGCAGAGAGGAATGTGGAACTAGAAAATCAGCAGACAAATAATTTTAGAATTCAAGTTGTACTTCTAGGTTTGTATCACCCCCCCCCCCTCTCTCTCCTCTCCCATTTTTTCATCAAAATAGTTTTTGAATGTCACTTGACCAGAAATAATGTTTTATGCGTACATTTTAAGAAAACAACAATTTGAGATTTCGCAGATTTGTCAGTCATGTGTGGTGGATTAATAAATTGTTATCGAAATTTTTATATTCGGCCAGAAACCTTTCGTGGGTTCATGTTACACGTTAAACTAAAGTAAATTTTCACAAGATTAAAATATTTTATGTTTTCAATCATAACCGTCTTTTTTAAAAGCTGTTGAGAAGATCAACATCAAGGTTCTGAATTTCTAATTTGAAACTGGATAAATTAGTATTTTTTACTTCTGCGTAAAATCAAAACAAGAGGAGCTACAGGGTCACAAAATCATACCAGTAATATCGTATAAATTTGACCTTCTCCTTATGTCTATAGTTTGCAGTGGTAAGGTACTCGACAAAATTCGTCAATATAATGTTTATTTTCTCAGGTCTCACTCTATTTCTTCTGATTTTGGTCTGGTTTTACCTACCTTCCTCTAGTACTATGTAAGTCAAATTTATTATTTTTATTGTCGTTATAGTGTTAGTGTGATTGTGATTGTTATTGTTATTGTTATTGTTATTGTTATTGTTATTGTTATTGTTATTGTTATTGTTATTGTTATTGTTATTGTTATTGTTATTGTTATTGTTGTAGTTATTTTTATCGTGATTATTTTTGTTATTGATATTGTTATTGTTATTGTTATTGTTATTGTTATTGTTATTGTTATTGTTATTGTTATTGTTATTGTTATTGTTATTGTTATTGTTATTGTTATTGTTATTGTTGTAGTTATTTTTATCGTGATTATTTTTGTTATTGATATTGTTATTGTTATTGTTATTGTTATTGTTACTGTTATTGTTATTGTTATTGTTATATTGTTATTGTTATTGTTATTGTTATTGTTATTGTTATTGTTATTGTTATTGTTATTGTTATTGTTATTGTTATTGATATTGATATTGATATTTAAATTGATATTGATATTGTTTTTGTTATTGTTATTGTTGTCGTTATCAGTATCGTTATCGTTTTTGTAATCGTGTCCGTGACTTTGTCTGTGACTGTAGTTATTGTTAGCATTCTAATTTTGTATATTTAGGTGCCCCCCGGTATCTGAGCCCACAATCAGCTCCAGTGATGAACTCTAAACCATGCATTTTATTCATTTTATTATCTTCAACATTGGTGGAAATATATTTTATGGAATTAAAAACTTAGTTTTATAGAAGAGTATCAATAATACCGATAGGATGTATATATAGTAAATATTTGAACCTGAAACAGGCCTCGTTGCATTATTTATGTATTAATGTCATCTCAAGTCTGATTTGATATGATTTGATTTGAGGGTGACAGTAAAGGAGGAGGTGTTGAGGTTAAATATTTTAAAGCAAGGGGTTATTAAATAATTCCGTAACCCAATTTTGTTCTTTAATACAGGTAGCTGAATCTAAATTATAATTTAAAAGAAAATATATTTAATTTTTTCTCTTTGGAACGTATTATTTTTCTACAGTGCGTCTCTTTGGAACATATTATTTTTCTACAGTGCGTCTCTTTGGAACATATTATTTTTCTACATTGCGTCTCTTTGAAACATATTATTTTTCCACAGTGCGTCTCACAGAACATTTAACATCCTTCTTCATTATCAGGTTTAGAAACTTTCCCTAGTTTCAACAATACGGATAGAATCAGAAATATAGTGAATATTTGAACCTAAAACAGGTTTACCGACAAGGAGCGGGTGTTTAAGTTAAGGATGGTAAGGCATGGGATGATTCAAAGATTTCTAGGGTTGGGTTGGCCCTGGTTAAGAGAACGCACACATCCCTAAATGCATAGTGGCCTCCTGTTCTTTATTTTCGGGGGGAAAAGTTCTTAAATTTTTTTAATCTTCTCATTTTTTCACCTAAATTTTTTTTCGATAGTTCCATTAAACAAACCATATAAAACCTTTTCAAATATGGGGGGGGGATCTTTTCTTTGAACCTTATTAGATAGTTCTTCTTTCATTTTATTTAAAGTTCTTTTTTAATCCTTATACCTCCTCAGGTTCAGGAGATGGAAAAAATTTAATAAAGCATAGTAAGAGTTTCATGAGAGATTTTAATTCCCCCCACCCTTAAGCTCCTTAGATTGTATCAAGAAAATTAAACTATTTAACTAAAAGAAATCAATATCAAACAATCGTACTTCGACGTGTGTGCGAGATCATTTTTAATGGAAGCTGATGTTTTTACAACATTTTCCTTTTTTACGCCGCCTTACATTTTGGTGGATAATAGCTCCGACCCCTTACTTGAATACGCCTCCGCTGATTAGACTGTAGACGTTATTTTAAATGCACGCGCACGATTCACAACGGTACTTTTTTATTTTTGAATCTGAAAATTGACCCTGGTTTTTCCTCTGGAACGATGCGTGGATAACTATTTGCAGGAAAAAGATGGGTAGCGGCCAAAATTTTCAGACAGAAAACGACGAGATATCACTTATTGTTTCTTGGATAAAGGTTCCAACGGTACTATTGTGAATTGGGTGTGTAAACTTGAATTTACGATGACAGTTCCTTCTTGAACTTCTTTCTTGAATCTAAATTTGTTACATCTAAAAAATGCACTATAATGTTTGACGCAACATTTTGATAATTTATTTGGTATTTTTCAAAGTTTCATAGTTCTCTTGTGCACTAAAACTGGTTCTATGTTGGATACAGAAATTCTTGTTATTTTATGTCTTCATTAAATTGAGAGGATTAAAAAAACGGATTTTTCGAGTTTTGTTTATTTACAGTTTCGATGAATGTATAAATAGTTCATGGCATCTTGAAAAATTATTTTTAAATAGGAAACATTATTTAGGTGGTTAATAATAATAAATTTAAGAATAAAATTAAATGAAAAAAAACCAGAATATAACGTAATTTCAGCCACCGCAAAAACTTTGAACATAAAATAAATTCTGAAATTGGATCAGATTTGTAATAATCACGATTTTTTAATCTTGATATTTTTTTTAATAATCCGGAGTTACAGTGTGTAAACTTTTTTAAGTGAAGAACTATGAACAGGGTGTCCAGAGAAATATGGGAATTCATTGATGACTTTTATATCGTCTTCGATCCACGTTGATCGTGTATCTTAAAAATTGACGAAAAAAATTTCAAAATTTGTACAAAGTTTTAATTTATTTATTAAATGAAAATTGTCTTAATATTCAATATCTTCGTCAATTTTTAAGATACGGGAAAGGTCTAGACGACTTTATGACAAGCTCGTCAGACGTACAGCTCCTCATTTACTTCCTTTGCCATGCATTAAAAATCAGAAATAAAAAACGTCTTCCAAGTCGTCTCTCCATTAGCATGTTTATTAGGAAACCCTGGATGTAAAGTCTTCTAGAAATGAATACCTAAGCTATATAAGTATAATTCTTGAGAAAAAACATTAATTATATTATCACTAGGCTTTCAATGCGCTTCGCGCCCATCTCCTATTTAAATTGTGAACATTTTCTCTTTGTATACATTGTGAAACAACAACAAAAATTTCGCTGATTTTTCAGAATTTAATGCAAATCAAATTTAGTTTGAGGTACATTTTTGAAAATTCAATCATCCATAAACTTCCCTGGGGTCCCGCAAAAAATTGGGCCCGATGGGTTCAGCCGTTTTGACGTTTTTTGATACAAACAAAACAAACAGACAGACAAGGAAAGCATATATATAGGTCGAAGATAGTCATGGGATTTTGATAGTGTTGTTTGTCTCTTATGGCTCTTATGTGCTTTCAAAATTACAGAATACAGAAAGTATTTCTACGTACTATAAACTCTTTTATCTTGTAAATCTTTATATATAAAGTAGTAATCTCTGTCCGACCATAACTCAGGAACCCCTTGAGCAATGTGCCTTATAATTTAATTGGGGAACTAGAACCATGGGAATGTTCTTAGCTTGGTTAAAAAAAAATAAGTTGAGTGGGTTGATGTTATAGTGAAAGTTTAGTTTCCAGGCAAAGTGGGTTCCCAAGCTAGTAATACTAGAAATCCTTTTCATCCTGTAAAAAAAGGTAAACGACATTTTGGAAAGCTTTCTAGTCGTTAGCCTGATTTTAAGAGTTATATTTTTCACTTTCACGTTTTGTAAATTACCCCAAAAAAGTAATTCACCATGTAATTATAATGAGGAAAGTTAATGGTTATAATCATGTAATTATAATGAGGAAAGTTAATGGTTATAACCATGGAATTATAATTAGGAAAGTTATAATAATGCCTCAAAACAAGCCACATGGATCCGCATATTTTTGAGGATTCGGACCGAAGGAGCCATAAAAATATTAATTCCAATTTACAAGGGATCCGAAATCTGAATCCTTAGCTCTGATTTTGAGAGTAACTGAAACAAGTTTACATTATACACTTCTAAATATACAGGGTTACCCACATTTTAAGAGACTGTATAAAGACGACTTGGAACTCTTTAAATTTGACGATCCTATAGTTTTGAAGTGTGGTCTTTAAATGGCTATTTAATGATTAGGCAAAGAAAGTAAAAAGTTTATAGTTCCAAGGAATATAAGGAAACTGAGTCTAAAGTCTCATCCTTTTTGGGTAACCCTGCATGTATTGGCCTATACCCTGGTACAGTGTACAGAGTTCAATGTACAGTGTACCGTGTACAGCGTACAGTATCCTGGATGAGGAATGAGAATGCATTTTCATAAAATATAGTTGTAAACATTTTATGACCTGAGGTGTAAACATTTAATCGGTTTCAGATTTTCCAACCGTTTTTCTTACTTCCAGTCTTCGAGTTTGTTTTTATAAATAATTATTATAAATTCGGTTTATACCATATAATTATTTAATTTAATAATGATAATAATGATACTAATAATACTAATAATAATAATAATAAACTATACACTTTACACCTTAATATAGATCTATACGCAGTTTCAACCAGTTTTACACAATAATGTCATTTTTAAAATATTTAATAATATTAATAATAATGTGTAGATTTAATGATCTTTGTAACTAACAAAAAAAATGTTATAAAAAGAAATAATGATTTTTAATCTGAAACCTGTTTCTTCTATCTTGGTAAATTCCCTGCAGGTTCTCCCTATACTGGGCCCCTTATCCTTCTCCTTTCAAATCAAATCAAAACATTGATCCAAGATGGATCCAACTTTTATATTAACTCATGCACACTGCAATGTTCGAAGGTGCCGCTGAAGTATTTTCACCGAGTTATTTTACCATATTTTGTGCTAACATTGTTCCCTCCCTGTGACATTTATGTTGACGCCCTGATACCCCCCCCCCCCGGCATATAAACAGGTACCCTATGCCCCCCTACCCTACCTGAAAAACCAGGTATATTGCTTGAATGATCACAGGCCGGTATTCCAGGCAGTTGGATACAGGCACTAGACTTTAAAACAGCTGACACCAATTTCTCAGACTTTCTTGACATCGGAGAACTGAAGTGACAGCGGAGAACTGATCAGTGACAGCTATCTGTGAAACTGTTGATCTATCCGAAACAGTGAAGGTTGGATGAGAATGATGTTTGCAAGTTCCATATAGTGATTTCAGAATAAGGAATTGGATTTTTTTTAAACAAATTCTATTATTTCCCTTCTTACTTTTTCATGTGAAAATAAAGTATGAATCCCTCTCTACAAGCTATACTGTTATTTTTTTTTTATCTATATTTTCCATCTTATACATACTATTATTTTAACTTTTCTCTTCTACATATAGTTTTTCTTGACAAATTTTTTTTCACTTTTCCTCTTTTTACATTTTTTACTTCAATTTTTCAATTTTCTAATCTTCCCTTTAACTCTAGCTAAGAAATCAACAAATTCTACTTTCTATTAAAAATCTCGTGTTACAGCTTTCAAACCTTTTAGTTTTTAACAATTCAATTAATAAGATTTAACTTTTTACACCTTTTTGGGGGGTTATTTAGGTTGTATTTAGTTGATCTATACAAACACATACAAACAATTTTTACGTCTTACGATTTTTATTTGTTACATAAACTTCTGTTGATCTACAATGGATCTCGGTTGATCTCGTTCACTATGATATCCCTAGAACCGGCTGGATTCAATTTGGTGTACAGTCCCGTTTTGCATTATATAGTCCTGATGCGTACTGTACAAGCTTACTGTAGCTGCTAAAAAGTCGGCCCGATCTATGAAATACAAAAATCTAAATACCCCCCTCCCCCCATCTTTTTAAATTCTCTTATTCTTCGTATTTTACATTTCCTGTTTGGGTTTATATATATATTGTATTCTTTGTGTTTCTCTGGATGCTTTGAAACCCTGATCCTGCCAGTAATTCCGGGAATTAGTATAACAATACAAATTTCTTTTTATTTCAATTTAATTTCAGAAAATCTCAGTCGGAATAAAGTTTCTTTTGAGCTCATTTTTTATTTTTGTTTGCTGAATTTACTTTTTGATCCACATTGCTATTTATTTGATTATCTGTATATATTACTTTGCTTGTCTGTCTGTACGTCTGTCCCAGTTTGTACCCAATAAACGTCAAATCTGCTGAGCCGATCATGTCCATGGTTCAGGACCCCAATGAAGATTTATTGATGCTGAAAATTATAAAATTTGTGTCCAAATGATTTGGATATTTGTTAAATTAAAAAAAACGCACAAAATAATATTATCAAATCCGCAAACTTTTTTGCTATTGTTTTATATTGTACAAAGAGAAGATGCAGATAGGGACACTATTTAAAAGTTGAATTAGAAGATGCAAAAATCCAAGAATCTGATAATAACTTAAGGAGGTAAATTTCTGCACGCAATCAATTTTTAGCTCCCACCCCCTTCCCATAACTAAAGATTCGTCTCCATTAATCCCCTTCCCCCCGTTTACCCCTAATCCGTACCCTGAGCCCCATCCCTTAAACCGTATTCTTTAAACCCACATTGTCCCCCCTCCCTACGCCTGTCTAAAAACTTCTTTCTGTAATCATATTTCTACAAATAGATTTTCAAATACAATAGTATCAAATATAACAAGAAAATTAAATTTTCTCACATTAGTTGACATGTTTTTTCAAGATTAAATAAAAACGTGTAAAAACAGAAAATAAAGAACACAAAATTGCACTTATTTCACCGTAAGATAAGCACTTACAAAAATATCACATTATTTGTCGGACACAAAAACTAAGTTGACACGTGTTACCTAAGAATACAGTTGTGCTGATAGTGTACAAATTCTACGTTGCCATCTATTGTACTATAAATCTATTTGTATTACTGCACTGCTTTGTCATGATGCAAAAAAGACTTAAGTACTTCGTTCATTGTGTATTATTATATCACTTCTAATTATGCATGCGAAATCTCCTTTGTAAAGGGAGTGTTCGCGAAAAATGAAAGGTTGTATAGGCTTTTGCGATGAAAAATAATCGCTTTTGATCGCTACTAATCTTACTTCTATCTGTTGCGTCTATAAGGAGAAAATTGTTAAAAATGACTTATATTGAAGAACGTAGCGTCCATACAAATTTAGAAAGTTGGAATATACGACTCAGATCGTTAAAAAATCAATTTAATTTCATACAAATCATTCAGATATTACAACCTATAGTCATCGATTCATATATTGTTGTATTATCTGAATGATTTGTTTTAAACTGAATTGATTATTTTAAGATACGAGTCTCAATAGATAGAAGTAAGTTTAGTAACGATAAAAAGTGCTTATTTTCCGCCGTTAGCCTATACCCCCTTTTATTTTTCGCGAACACTCCCTTTAAAGAAACTGACCACGTAAATTAAAGTTGCATTAATTTCAAATATTTCTATGCATGCATAACTTTTGTCAAAGCCAAAATTATTAAGTTATTCTTGTTTTTCTATTTAAAAATTTTAAGTTTTCAATTGAGGTTCTCTATGTTCTCTATGGAAATTTCTATGTTGAAACTCCTTGAACTTCTTGAACTCCTTGAACTCCTTGAACTCCCTGAACTCCTTGAACTCCCTGAACTCCTTGAACTCCTTGAATTCCTTGGACTTCTTGAACTCCTTGAACTCCTTTAACTCCTTTAACTCCTTTAACTCCCTGAACTCATTGAACTCATTGAACTCATTGAACTCATTGAACTCATTGAACTCATTGAACTCATTGAACTCTTTAAACTTCTTGAACTCCTTAAACTCTTTGAACTCCTTGAACTCCTTGAACTCCTTGAACTCATTGAACTCATTGAACTCATTGAACTCATTGAACTCATTGAACTCATTGAACTCCTAGATCTCCTTGAACTCTTTGAACTCCTAGAACTCTTTGAACTCCTTGAACTCCTTGAACTCCTTGAACTCCTTGAACTCCTTGAACTCCTTGATCTCCTTGAACTCCTTGAACTCCTAAACTACTTAAAGTAAGGCAAATACAGTTNCTCCTGAATACAATTCTGTTTGTAGACTTCACGTGAAAAAAAGTTTCACGACAGATTAAAATTTTACACATAGATTAGAATTTTACACACTTTCATTCATTACACCTTTTTTTATGAGCTCTTGAGAAGAAAAAATAAGTTTTGAATTTCCAATATGCTAACAAACAGATGTTCGCGTTAAATCAAGCAGCTAGGCGAGCTATGAGGTCACAAAGTCGAAACATTTATTTTACAGGGTTTTGGCTTGTTTCTTCTGACTGACTAAATTGGAGTGGTTACTTTCATATAAAGGCAAATTTCTAATTAGTAGTATATTACACTGTACACTGCCAACATTTTGTTTCGGTGCTTAGTTTACTACTTTTTCTTGGGAAAAAGGACTTGAATCTTTGTCACAAACTCAAATTTTCTAACCCTTATATCATAGCAACTTAATGGTGCAAACCTTTGATATTTCAAACTTAGATTATTTGATCTACCAGAATTCATAGTTTGAAATATCTAAGTTCTACGGCATTGGGTTGAAAAGATATAGGGATTAGAAAATTTGAGTTTGTGGCAAAGGCTCAAATCCTTTAACAGACATTTTTTACTTATTGTAAATTAATATTTTTAAAGACTTAAATTCAAGTGATCCTCCAAGCAAAGATGTTAATGCCTGATTTACAACTGAACCATTGAAAGCTTTGTCTGATCAAATATGAATTCGATATTCCATGCTTTTGTTCCTTTAAACTGTTTAATTTGCGGTTTCATGCAATTCTTGTATTTAAGAAACCACGGGGATATGATCTGAGTTTCGATTCAGAAAAAAACAACATACCATTGTAAATCTGGCATTACTATCTTTGCATGGATTTTACAACGATGTAAGAATAAGAAACATAGAATAGTATACATAGTATACAAAGTCAAAATATCTACACAACATATTTATGATTTTAGTGATTACAATAGCATTGACTTATTTAGTAGAAAAATGGTCTAGTTCTTTTGTTAATAAATTTATTATTTGAAATTTTAAAAAAATGTTTTCTAATGTATAGTTTTAAAACTATTTTAAACAGATTTTTTGGCTCAAAATCTTTGTATCATTTTTCTCGAGTCTCGACAAAATTGGATCTTTTTTAACTTTTATTTTTGTGTTCATTCTAATTTTTTCATTTCAATGCACGAAAACACTTAATAATATTATGCATGCAGTTTCATTTTTTCTTTGAAGACTTGTTTATTCGATACTCTAAACACAAGCCCTAAACATGTCAATAAAATATCCGCTGTTTGTTGCATTTACAAGAAGTGATCCGGGAAGCAATAGAGCAATAGGGTATACTGGTTACCCCCCCCCCCCCCCCACTCCCATACAATAGGCAATTCTTTTCTAATGTAGCATCACCCATTGACTAAAGCACTGCAGCAATGCCCCTAGATTGTACTACAACTATGTATTACATAATTTGAGATTAACCGTAAAGGAAAATTTTTCACTTTTCGAAAGATGTTATTCGCGATAGATTCAAAATAAATCCATAAAATATTTTTCTTCTCCTGGTTCTTTTGAAATTGTCTAGGCTTATATTGCATTTTTAATGATCCCGTCTAATGTTTACTGCACTTACTGTTGTGAGTTTATGACACCATGAGTGGACAAAACTTAGAAGCATCATCATTTAGTTTCTCAACAAATGACTTGAACCTTTAAAGCAGAAAAATACTCATCCTAAAGTTCAAAACTATCACTATTACAAGAAATTCGTTGAGCCACGATTTATTTCCAATTCTTTTTGATAAAATATAGAACTGTAAACTGTAAAACCATTAAAACATGCAGAGTCTGCCTTTAAAAACAGAAAATCAAAAAATCGTCCATATTATATAATGCATAATCTTGAAAATTATCTATTTAATCAACGTGATAATTGTACACTGAAATGGTAAAGCAAAAATACGCAAGATTAAAGTTTTTAACCAGATTCTTCAGAATAATATTCACAAGAAAAGGAATGGGAAGGAAATAAGAGGAAAGAGAACAAGAGGATAAGGGAAAAAGTCAAGGAATGAATGTGTAAATTGTAAAAAGGGGAAAGGGAAAAGGAAAGAAGGAAATAGGAAATGGGGGGGCTAGGGGGAAAGAGGGAAAGAAAAGAAGAGAGAAAGGAAAAAGGGGGGGGGAGAAAGAGTAAAAGACAAGTGGTAAAGAAAAAAGTGGAAAGTGAAAGGGGAATGGAAAAAGGGGAAAAAGGGCAGGAAAAAGGGAAAAGGAAAAGGGGAAAGGAAAAGGAGGAAAGTAAAAAGGGGGAAAAGAATAAAGGGGAAGGGAAGAAGGGGAATACTGATGACTATGTAAATGAACATATGTAGTGAGCGGGTACTTTTGAGGGTGCAATCTTGCTGTTATCGAAACCAATCCTTTTAATTCTTTGAATGCACACAATACATATATTTCTCAAGTTTAGATCGATTATAGTATTTTTATATTCAAGTCACGTTCTCAATATATAGAGTGGTCAGTATTTGAGATTTAATAATAAGACTAAAATGAAGAATGTCACAAATGGCGCCGTGACAAACTCCTGAAAGACAAACTCCTGAAAGACAAACTCCGGAAAGACAAACTCCGGAAAGACAAACTCCTGAAAAGACAAACTCCTGAAAGACAAACTCCTGACGAGACAAACTCCTGACGAGACAAACTCCTGACGAGACAAACTCCTGAAAATAAAAAATTCTGAAATACAAACTCCATAATATCAAATTTAAAAAATTTTGTCTTTCCGGAGTTTGTCTTTCCGGAGTTTGTCTTTCAGGAGTTTGTCTTTCAGGAGTTTGTCACGGCACCGTCACAAATATTTTTATTGTTAACTTACACATTTTAATTTACATGATATTTTCATAGAATTTTAAGTACTTTCTGATTCTTTCTGATTACACATGTTTCAAATCCATTATGGTGGATCTGATTAATTAATATCCTTATCCTTAATCTTTCAAATCCATTCTGTTTTTGATCTATTTTGTTTCTGATTTATTTTGTTTCTGATCCATTAATTGTTTCTGATCCACCCTGTTTCTGATCCATTTTGTTTCTTATCCACTCTGTTTCTGATCAATTTTGTTTCTAATCCATTTTGTTTCTGATTCATATTGTTTCTGATCCACTCTGTTTCTGATCCATTTTGTTTCTGATCCACTCTGTTTCTGATCCATTTTGTTTCTGATCCACTCTGTTTCTGATCCGTTTTCTTTCTGATCCGCTCTGTTTCTGATCCATTTTGTTTCTGATCCATTATGGGTTTAATCCATTATGTTTCTGTTACAGTTGGTTCCTGATTCATCTATGCACATTGCACATACGTCCAATATTTTCTGTTCTGGATCAATCTTGTTCTTAAAACAGGAATTTAAAAATTTTCTTTTTTGATCGAACTGTTATGCCTAAAACCTGTTTTAACTTGTGTGTAAAACAAAGAAGTTGATTCCTTGCCACAAACTAAAATTTTCTATCTCTATATCTTTGCAATCTGATGGTGTAAATTATTGATTTTTCAAACCTAGATTTAAATTCATAGTTTGAAATATCTAAAGTCTACGACATTGGGTTGCAAAGATATAGGGATAGGATTACAGGAGCAGGATACTTTATCAGTAATTTTATCTATAAAATTCTCAAATTTAAGGTGTTTATAAATGCATTCTGTCCATGTGAGCCTGATAGGAATGAATATTGTAAATGAATTTCTTGTAAAATTTACTTGGGTTAATGCGGAGGAAATGGACATAAATCTTATAATGGGAGTCAGGGAACTTTAAACCTTTAAACTCACTTTAAGGAAGTTAAACATTTACGTTCGCCATGTTATAAAATGGAAATGTGAGATCATTAAATACCTGAAGAATGGTCACTTTAATTATTATAATCAGCCCTTTCACTTTATATATTATTGTGCATTCATAGCATTAGTTTTTACAAAGAAAATGCACTTGGGGGATTGATCATGCATTTGGATAGATTGACATGAGATGTCAATTTGATACGGTATCATCTTGCAGATATTTACAGAATGTTCAGTGAGTTCAGTTTAACATTGGTCTAAAAGTAGAGATATTGTCAAGATTGTTTTTTCAAATTCTGAACTTTGAGTTAAGATTTGTTCTGTATAGAAGAGATATTTACATAGATGACAATATAGGGCCTGTTATCATTAACTGGGTTATCGTAAATTTTTAGAATTTCTGTTTAAAACTTTGATATGTATACCACATCTCATATATCAGTTTTGGTATAACGTTGACGCAGTTTTAAATCAATTTCTCGAGAAAGGGACATCAGATAGGATCATATAGGTTTCAGCCTATACCCCGTTTCATTTTCCCTCAACAGTTCCTTTAATACTATATTTATGTAGAGATTATCTTTTCATTTTTAAATAAAATTTTTGTCCTGTTTTCCGGCCGATCAAAACAGGCCACAAACAATTAAATGTTCTAAAATCCAAGATATACAGGACTGGTGGATTAATCTCCAGGATGGTTCCTCCTCTCATTCTTGTCCAACTCGTCCTTCTGCTGCCGGGAATCGTCCTTCCGATGTCGGACGATTCTTTCATTCACTTCCCACTCTCCAGCCCCGAAGGTTAGAAAACAAAAGAATTAAAGGGTATAAGGGTGTGTGTGTACTCGTTTTATTTCAACGTCTTCAAACTATTACAAACTAAAGGTTTATATAAAAACAATGATAAAATTGGAGTTCTTCCGAAAAGGCATGCAGGCTTTTGCTAAAAATGTTCTGTGTCCGAATTTAATGAATTTGAGCCGCGGCTTAAATCTGCCAATAACCGGTTTCAATTGAGCGCTGGCTAAATTCTTGAAAATTTGAATAGAATTTTAAATGGAACCAACGACATTTGAGCCGCGGCTTTAAATTCGGACTCTGATTTGTTTAGTTTGCAATTTTGTTTACATTTATATTTTTGCAATTTTCTATTTTTCTATTTTCGTGAGAACCAGTAGGAAAAACTCCGTCATTGTTAAATTTGGTGATGGTTGTTTGATAATCAACGTTGGGTAACTTCCCGCCATATTTCTCAAGCTAAATCTTTAGACGTAGAAAATCCAAAAAAATCTAACATATTCCCAAGGATATGTATTGTATCCCAGGGTATGTATGTATCCGTATTCCAGGGTATTTATCCGTATCCCAGGGTATGTATACGTATCCCAGGGTATGTATCTGTATCCTAGGGTGTATATGTATCTCAGGGTATGTATCTGTATCCCAGGGTATGTATCCGTATCCCAGGGTATGTATCCGTATCCCAGGGTATGTATTCGTATCCCAGGATATGTATTCGTATCTCAGGGTATATATCCGTATCCCAGGGTATGTATATGTATCCGGGGGTATGTATACATATCCCAGGGTATGTATCCGTATCCCAGGGTATGTATTCGTATCCCAGGGTATGTATTCGTATTCAAGGGTATGTATATGTATCACAGGGTTTGTATCCATATTCCGGGGTATGTATTTGTATCCCAGGGTATGTATTCGTATTCAAGGGTATGTATCTGTATCCCAGGGTATGTATTTGTATCCCAGGGTATGTATACGTATTCCGGGGTATCCAGGGTATGTATTCGTATCCCAGGGTATGTATCTGTATCCTAGGGTATGTATACATATTCCGGGGTATGTATCCGTATCACAGGGTATGTATCTGTATCCTAGGGTATGTATACGTATCCCAGGGTATGTATCCGTATCCCAGGGTATGTATTCGTATCCCAGGATATGTATTCGTATTCAAGGGTATGTATATGTATCACAGGGTTTGTATCCATATTCCGGGGTATGTATCCATATCCCAGGGTATGTATTCGTTTCAAGGGTATGTATCTGTATCGCAGGGTATGTATTTGTATCCCAGGGTATGTATACATATTCCGGGGTATCCGAGGTATGTATTCGTATCCCAGGGTATGTATCTGTATCCCAGGGTATGTATACATATTCCGGGGTATGTATCCGTATCCCAGGGTATGTATCCGTATCCCAGGGTATGTATCCGTATCCCAGGGTATGTATCCGTATCCCAGGGTATGTATCCGCATCCCAGGGTATGTATACATATCCCAGGGTATGTATCCGTATCCCAGGGTTTGTATCCGTATCCTTGGGTATGTATCCGTATCCCAGAGTATGTATTCGTATTCAAGGGTATGTATCCGTATCCCAGGATAAAATACAGAGTGGATATGTTTCGTCAATCTTACAGTTCGTCAATTCATATGGTGGTAGATGACGAAAGGTAAGGCTAAGCAAATTGTATCATTTACTTTTAGAAAAAGTAGAATAATGAGTTTTTAAAATACCACGGCAACGCCAGGCACTACAGCTGGTAATTCATGAATTGTAGCTGTTGAACCGTACGTGAAAATAAAGTAAATCTCACGTTAGGTTGAGATCTTATATGTTTTTATCAAAGATAATATATATATAGATATGCAGGCAGGTAGAAACCTCCTTCCTAAATTGCTTGTAGCAGACAACTAATTTTTGAACCTCTGAGAGAAGATGCAAGGAGAGACATCTATAGCAAATTGATTACTTTCTGTATTCCTTTCTCCCCTTGCTGCCATCTGTAGGAAATACGCATTTGTCTTATATAAACATACAGTACGCGTATTGCATCCTGTATAGTTCAAGTGTTGCTATCTGGACCTGTTTGACCAATAAATTAAATTTCAAGGTAACACAAACATACAGTACGCGTTTTATTTATGTTATGATCAGTTGTACTCGGCAAATTTAAATATGCAAAAATATTTGCAGAATTTCTTTGCAAAAGTTGTGAAATCGGCTTTCTTTTGTTAAAGGCTTTCCAAAGAGTTGTAAGAAGTCAAAATCCAATGACCGGAGGTAGGTCTAAATATAGATTTAGTCGGTAGGCTACGAGGTCACTAAGTTAGAATTCTAAACTAGACCTACGAGGGCACTAAGTTAGACCAGTTATGTCGCATAAAGTTTACCTTCTCCTTCTCTCAGAATTTTTTTTCTCTGCTTGATAAACTCTATAGAGTTTTAGTTGGTGAAAGCCATGGCTTGTTGTAAATTATTGCTGGTTGTATGCACACATTCAAATATGTATCTAGGCATACAAACTGTATTGAAAATATACATATATATTATGTAGATACATATCCGGTATATTCCTGTTTAAAAACATGTTTTTTGGGAGGGGTGCGGGGGGGATAAGAGATATTCAGAGCAATCTCAAATCTGAACCAAAATGCACAATTATAATTTTCTTCGATAGCCATAGAATTAAAGCCAATGTAAATAATGATTTATTCAAGATTATCAAAAAAGAAAAGAGGATGGCCTTGTTAAATGTGCTGGGCACCTTTAAAGAGAAGAAGATAGAATGGAGGGTGAAATTTAAAGTAGAAAGCAAAATAAAATTTCACAATATTGATTTAAATAAATGGCTTTAGAATTCGAACTAGTTATGTTTTTTTTTGATTTTCTGAAGTAAGATTAATTTCAGAGTAAGNATAAAATAAACTCTAGCAGACATAATAATATTATGGCTTTTGAAATTAGGTATTACAATGCTAATCCATAACAAAGACGATATCCAATTCGTCACTGAATTCCCATGTTTTTTGGGACACCCTGTAGATGAATCGAATAAATTAATTTGAAGTTTAGAGAAGTTAATCTATTTAATTTTCAACAATTTGTTTTTTTAATTGATTCAAATGTTTTTGTTTTTCCGGTTTTAGATTGTGTTGACTGGGTTCCAGCAAGGGAAGGGGAGGTGCCTGCAGCTGCTTTTATTGCGGATTTTACTGAGAAGGTAAATTTATGTACATATTGTATAAACAAAGTACATATGCTGTACAGTGCATTGATGGCACGCTAAACTAATCCTAAGGTGCTTGCTGCAGTTATCCACGCAATAAGCTAACCGAAGAAATAATGGGTTTCTGCGTGGAGTATAAGTACTTGTTTACAATTTTGAGGATATCTTAATTTCATACTGAGTTCGATCGAAGGTCGTCTTCGATGCCTTGGGGACACTTTTGGGTTTTAATTCCTTAATTTAAGAAATTTATCGTAATTCTAAAGAGTTTGCTTACATATTTTGAAATGTTTGTGATTTATCGGCTCGGAAAAGAGAAAATGCTTGAATGCTTGATTTGCAACTTTAATACTTTAATGTGAAAATCGTCGAATGAGCCTTTTTTAAAATCAAATTTTTAAAGAAAAAAATATTTTTGGATTTTGTTTATTATAAAGAGATTCGGGTTTCATGAATGATGTATTTATGTATTATTTGTTGATTATTAAAAAATGAATGACCCCTAATGTGTAGGATGGTGGTCACCAAGGAGTTTATATTGGAAGAGCTGAGCATGAGGGTGGGAAGTTCCCTGGAACCTTTTTACCTGCCCTGGAGAAGGCTTTCATAGCCTGGGGGGGAAAGGTGCACCACAAGGATCATTATGAGGTTATATATTTATATATTATTTTGTAAAAGAGAGAAAAATCAACAAAGCGGGATGAACTCAAAACTTTCGAACAACAAAATACAAAAAAAATATCTGTTCGTTTAATGAGTACAAAACCTAAAAATCTTAAAACCGTGTACAAAAAATAACTATAGTTTTTTTATAGATTGAAATTATAACAAAAACTATCTATATGATATATACATCTCACTAAATTAAACCAAATATATTTAAATATACATAATACAAACTAATTATATTCGGTCTCCGAGAAATAATTTATGATAGAATGTTTGGCCTGGTTTTGAGAATTGTTTACAGGTTTTGGTAGAAAAGTCCAACCTACTGCAGTGCCGGTTAGTCTGGATAAACTCTAGGGACGGTCAACTTGATGACAGAGCTGTTATTGGTGGATACACGGAGGTAATTACAAATACAGATTTATCTATATAATATAGCAAGTCATTCGTATATGTTGCGTAACAGCTGGACCGATTGGACTGAAACTTTTTGTGGACACTCATGGGCGGCCGGGGGGTGTTATAGGCTAAAAAGTTTTTTTCTTCAAAAATTTTTCTTTTTTCCATGGGCAACGCCGGGCCTTTCAGCTAGTAAGAAAATAAAAAAAAACATTTCAACTTTTAAGTCTTGTTTTCAAGTTTTCTTCGTACTGATATTGATGGTTTATAAACATCTTAAATCGACCATTTTCAATTTTGACCTACCATGGACCTCCCATTGGGTCATGCAAGTTGCGACACAAAGTTTGGCCCGATCGGTTCAGCCGTTTTGACGTTGGTGGATCTTGGCTTTGAAGATATCCATGGGCACCTAAGGAGTGGCATCGGCTAAAATAAATTAGAATTCTTTTTCAAAATGCAAAATTTCATTTTTTTAAATCAAAGTGTTTCTAAAAATGTTCGGGCAACGCCGGTCACTCATAAATATTTGTATCTAGAATGGAGAGGATATATATATATATCTGTAAACCAAGTATAGATGAATATATAAATATATATCTAGAATGGAGAGGATATATATATATCTGTAAAGCAAGTATAGATGAATATATAAATATATATTATCCTATTCATTCATTAATTTTACATCGATCACTCATTTTTTTTACTTTTCTCAGTTTTTCACAAAATATCAACTTTAAATCCAGTCATGCGTTCATTTTTTGACACTTTACATTATCCAGTTGTTAGTTCAAACCTTAATCAATAAAATGTATTATCCTAAAAATTTCTTTAGAATGTTTGACATACGCTTTAGCGTTTTTTCACCTCAGTAAGGAACTCAACTAAACCAATCTTGTCGCCAAAAAATGTCTCTGATTGCCGATATTTTCTCTCAAAATAATTATAAGAAGTATGTAAAAAGAAATGGGCTCTGGAAAATTTCGTGGATTTTTTCAATGTTATTCGTTCATTTGACTGTGACAGCACAATGTGTTGAATCCTTCATGAATTATATAAATATATATTTTTTTTAAATAAATGCAGTATTCAAAGGGTACCGTAGTAAATGGGAGAGATATTTCCTTAAAACGCTAAATTACATTACGAAATACCATTTAAAAAGTTTAATTTATATTTGATGTTTTAGATATCAGCTTCTGATTGTGTCTTCACCGTTGAATTTGGCCAGGTTAATATTTTCAATATTATTCTTTAAGATGAAATTTTTTTAATAACGTAATTATTTTAAAAATTGTAAAATTATTCTGTTAAAGATATTTTATACAATTCATTTTTAAATTCTTCAAAGAGTAATCGCTCGTGATTTTATTATTGCAGGTTAAGTTAGAATTATGAAGTCCACACCACATTAATTACTAAATCTATATAAATCTATATAAATCTATATTCCCTCATATCTATGTATAATTATTTATATATATGTTAGCTACAGCTGGACAAAAGGAACAGAATCTTTGTCACAAACTCAAATTGTCTAATCCCTATATATTTACAATCTGATGATGTAAACCGTTGATATTTCAAACTTAGATTATTTGGTCTAATAGAATTAAAAGTTTGAAATATCAAAGGTCTACGACATTGGTAGCAAAGATATAGAGATTATAAAAGTAAAGTTTGTGACAAAAACATAGTTCATTTGCTGGTCATTTTTGAGGGAACCCATGAGAGTAACAAACGCTAAGAAATTCGAATTTCGATTTTCAAAAATCAAATTTTTTATTTTCTATTTTACGGGCAACGCCGGGCACTTCAGATCGTAATCTATATTTTTATATAATTTAGGAATGAGTATGTGACTAATCCTAGTATAGGAATACTAAACGCATTCACAAGTTCTCCAGAACACATTCTGGAACATTCTCCACCCCTGCAGTACCAACATGGAACTTTACAAGGTAGGAGACTACAGGAAACAGACAGGAAATAAACAGGAAATAGACAGGGAATAGACGGGAAATAGAAAGGAAATAGACAGGAAATAGACATGAAATAGACAGGAAATAATCAGAAAAAATCAGGAAATGAACAGGAAACAGATAGGAAATTGACAGAAAACAATAGGAAGTTACAGAAAGGAAATAGGAAACAGGATAGAAATCAAACAGGAAACAGATAGCAAACAGGAAGAAAATAGGATTGGAAACTGATAGGAAACGGGACAAAAAAGAACAGTGAATAGATAGAAAAACAGAGATGAAACTGACAGAAAACAGATAGGAAACTGACAGGAAGGAAACAAAAAGAAAAAATAAAGGAAACAGGAAAGAAAGGAAACAAACAGAAAACAGAAAGGAAAAAGACAGGGAACAAATAGGAAACAGGAAGGAAAAATAAAGAGGATAAGAGGAAAGAATAATAAAATTAAAAAAAAACATTATTAAAAGAAAAAATTATTTTTAAAAAGAAGGAAAAATAATAAAACTAAGAAATTAGAAAGAGAGGAATGTGAATTGAAAAAGAAGAATAGAGAAAGAAAGGAAAGGTGAAGGAAAAGATAATAATGATTGAAAAGTAGTAGAATAGTTTATAGATATAGATGAGAAAAAATATTTGCAAAGAAAGCACAGCAATTGTATTCAATAAAATAAGGATTTTTAGTTTTTACAGAATCAATTGAAACCTTTCAGTTGAGAAGCTGTGAAAATCGATTTGCTCTGATATGTAAATGGGGCAAAACTGTATATATTGGATAGGATTTGCTCTGATATGTAAATGGGGCTAACTGTATATATTGGATAGGATTTGCTCTGATATGTAAATGGGGCTAACTGTATATATTGGATAGGATTTGCTCTGATATGTAAATGGGACTAACTGTATATATTGGATAGGATTTGCTCTAATATGTAAATGGGACTAACTGTATATATTGGATAGGATTTGCTCTGATATGTAAATGGAGCTAACTGTATATATTGGATAGGATTAGGATACGCATGAATAGAAGTTGAGAAGACAGTGCTACTGGTATAAATTGGATAGGATTAGGCTACGAATGAATGAAGTTGAGAATACAATGCTACTGGTATAAAATCTAATTTCTTTGAGTGTCGAATCAGCAAAATCAAAATAGTGGTCACGATAGAGCTCTTCCGGGGAAATAAGGGGGTTAGGAGAAATAAGGAGTGATTAGGAGAGATGAGGAGGGATTAGGAGGGATTAGGAGGGATTAGAAGGGATTAAGAAGGATTAGGAGGGATTAAAAGGGATTAAGAAGGATTAGGAGGGATTCTGGTGGGTTAGGAGAGATAAAGAGTGCTAAGGATGTATAAGAAGGGACTGGGAGAGATACGGAGAAATAATGAGGAATAAGGAGAAATTATGAGGAACTATGAGAGATTATGAGGGAAAAGGAGGGATAAGGAAAGATAAGGGGAGATAGAATGGATGGGGAGGAATAAGGAGGGCTTAGGAGAGATAAGGATGGATAAGAAGAAATAAGGAGAGATAAGGAGGGAGTAAGTATGGATAAGGAAGGATAAGAAGGTATAAGAAGGAATAAAGATGGATAAGAAGGGGTAAGGAGGGATAAGGAGGGAATAAGAAGGGATAAGGAGGGATAAGGAGGGATAAGGAGGGATAAGGATGGATCAAAAAACACAAAGTATGAAGAAAAAAGATTTAAATTGAAAAAAATCTGAATCAAAGCAGAATCCGGAAGTTTCCATGCAGTATGCAGTTCTTCCGGTGTCAATAGATCACGCAAACGGAAATAAACAATTGGCTTGGTTTGACCCTTGAAGTGGAAAATTCTGAAAATTTAAGAATTAAAAAATGCGCCGAAGGAACTGGACCAGTAAATACAAATAAAATCCCACTCCTTTATCACAAACTCCAAAAAAGACAAAATGTGACAATCTCCTGAAAGACAATCTCCTGAAGGGAAAAACTATGTAAAAGACAAACTCAAAAAAAATCCTAACTAAAGGGCCAACCACCGTGGCTTGCAAATGCTGAGGAGTCAAAAAGAACATTTTACTTTTATGCAGAAGTTCGCTTGTATTAGAATGGTTTGATTTTGTTAAATATGAAGAATATGGGTAAACTGGTATTTACAGTGAACTGCTGCAGGCTCGTAATATATCTATCTAAAGTGTGTGTGACACTAAAGAAACTATTTATCTCAACCCTCCTCCCACATCCCCTTTACCCGGACCCCATAGTCAATCCCCCCCCCCCTCGTCCATACCCAACTAGGCAAGGACTGGGCACCTTTGCGGATTTTTTTCAACCATAAATTTTTTTTTGATTTCACTGCGGTCCGTTTGTACATTGTTTGTACTTTCTGTACCGGCAGGGCATCTATGAACTTGTACCGTCCAAGCAGCCCGGATGAATTGTCTTTGAGATTTTTTTAATGGCTTTTGGAATTGTGTTCTTGTACCCATCCCTAAAACTGATATCAGAAACTTCTTTTACAGTAAACCTCATGTATCTGCAGTCAATACTAGTTCTTAACAAATATTTTATAAATATATTTTCATACTTTTACACCGTACAACAGTGATAACCAGAAAACTCTGAAATATGAAGACGACCTTTAGAATCAAGTTTTAACTTTAAAAAGTCTAATCAGTATGAGAAACAGCAATTGTGCAGTGTAAACAGACCAATTTCACTTAATAAATGATTTACTATAAGTTTCCAGTAAAACAATTTGCTTTGTAACAGCATTAAATAGTTAGTATTGCTATAATATCTTCCTGCTCTAATGGTTTTGCTCTTTACTATATAATGTAAAGGCTTAATCACAGGAGATGACATTATGAAATCTTATTTCTTACAATCATAATTCCCTGCAGCTGAACTTTAATTAAATGATTGAATAGATTGAATTGACGTAACAAGCTTTCGACATTTTACTTTAGTAAATTTTAAATGTTTTTAATTTTAATCCAATCTATATTTCATTCGCATCTTTTCTTTTATTAATTTTATATTTTGAGAAAAGAAGTATTCTTCTCTATAGTTTATTATTGGAAATGTTGATATATATCTATTTTAGAAAAATTTATCAAAAATGTTGAAGGATGTATCTATTGCCTCATCTGCAGATGATAAATTCAAAATGTTCAAAATAGTAATCATAGACGATTGCAAAAAAGCTAGATTATTTAGCAAACAATTATATCAACTCAATTATAAATTGATACTTACTTGATAAAACTAATTATTTACAATTGTGGTTTCTCTACAAAAGTGACTTGCGCATTTTACACTGCGGAAAAAATATAAGAATTATCAGGATTAAACACTTTTAATTCTAAAAAACACAATATCTTTCACATTATTGACCAGAAAAAGGATACCGTTGTGAAACGGGCAATTGCCATCTTTGCATGGAGTATCACTTGAAATTACGCATACAGCCCCTTTAAATATCCCAGTTTTAGAGTTTTCATGCAAACATTTTTATTCATTTTATAAAATCTTGCATTTGCATGTAATCTGAATTACCCTTCGGTAGAATGCAAATATCATTCTCTTTTTCCTAAACTGA